TATTTCGAAAAAGTAGCAATAATCGTAAAAGGGTATTGATAGGCTTGCTAAAGTAACTAATTTTAGCTGTCAAATACTTTTGTATTTTGAAGTAAATTAGTATAAATTTGTTTTTACTTTTATTTCGAAAAAGTAGCAATAATCGTAAAAGGGTATTGATAGGCTTGCTAAAGTAACTAATTTTAGCTGTCAAATACTTTTGTATTTTGAAGTAAATTAGTATAAATTTGTTTTTACTTTTATTTCGAAAAAGTAACAATAATCGTAAAAGGGTATTTAATTGTCTTCAAATATAATTTAAGGTTATTTTTTAAAAAATTAGAAAAGCGTAATTTAAGGTTATTGAAAAGTGACACTTGGCAAATTTGTCCCGCACTCATTTTAACTCCCTTTGAAAACCTCAATTTTCCATACAGAGGGAACGGGAATGTTGTAAACGAAAACGATAAAAACTGTTTGACAAAAAAGTGACACTTTACATGGCAAAAAATAGAGCCTTACTTTTGAGATACTTGAGATTGAAACTGAATCTTATGAAGCGGTGATCTTGAATCACTACATCATAAGGTTCAGTTTCATATAAAATTTGTTATTCTTTTGGAATTATTTCTTATAAGATTTTACATCTTTTAGCGGGGAATGTTTGTTATCATGTATATATTATAAATATTTACACGATAACGAACATTCCTCACTAAATTACTGAGAAACTTTGAGGAAATGTCGAACAATTTCCTCAAGTTTCTCAGATTTATATAGATAACTAGAGTCCCCTAGGCACTGATTCTGGTTCAGTACCTAGGAGGCTCTGGTTATCTAACGAACTGATAAAATGTTTTTAAATTTGTGAATATTGCTACCTGTAAAGCACTGACTTCAAATCAGTACCTCACAGGTAGCAATTACATTGAAATATGGGAGAAATTTTGTCCGAATGTTAAACTATTCGGACAAAGTTTCTCCCATTTGTAGTGGAGATGGAAGGCTTTGAGGTATATTGTATTAATATATACCCCAAAGCCTTCCATCTCCACTTGAAAGTGTCCAAACTTTGGGTTAATAGTTTGCAATTAACCCAAAGTTTGGACACTTTCTAGAAGGAATTGGAGGGTAAGAGATATACATTCATATGGTATATCTCTTACCCTCCAATTCCTTCCTAAAACTCATAAAAGTGGACCTTACATGCATTTAAAATTTGACATGTAAAGTCCACTTTTTGTGAGCGGGGATTTGACTCCGTCAAATCCCCTTTTTCGTTTACGAGATAATACTAAACGTTTTTTTCCCCTGTCACTTTTAGTTAGTAAACATATCAAGGGTACGGCGGCACTGCGCGCCCTCTTACCCATTATATGTGAATTTGACACTTTACAAAACCGTTAACGTATATTTTACAACGCAAACGACAACACTAACTTAACCTTAAATATTTACAAAGCCACCAACCACTTCACCTCACTAATGTAAAAATAAACGTTCTCACTTACAAAAGTATTGCAACTCCTCCCATTGCTGTGCTTCACATAACAGCTCATAATCTTCTGACTCACTTTCTTCTTCATATAGGTCAAAGTCACTGTCAAAATAAATGTTAGTAAGTTTTGACAAAGCTAATGAAACACGCTTACCGTTTGTATCTATTGCTTGTATAAACTTTCCATTATGTTTGTAGTCATAAACGCTCAAACTAACTTTACCCTTTCTCCCTCGTATCTGATAGAATGTATTTTCACGAGGAACGAAGAACAAGTTCTTGAACTCATGACCGTTGTAGTTTGTTATCTCAATAGTTTTCGTCATTTACATAAAAATAAAATAAAAATAAATGATATCACTACCTTCACGCGTATGAAAACATAGCACAAAAATAAATTTAGGTGAAGCGGTGAAATCTCACCTCTTTTTTCACCCGGTTTTTCACCCACAATAAAAAATAAACTTAAAAATAAACGTTGTCAGAGGTGAAAAAATAAATTTAGGTGAAGCGGTGAAATCTCACCTCTTTTTTCACCCGGTTTTTCACCCACAATAAATTTTATTCCTCACTGTCGTCTGCTTTCTCCAACTCTTCTAACTTCTTCTTAAGTTCAGCAATGTTGTCTTCATGAAGTTTAATCTTTCTCAAAATTCCTTCTTTATCTAATGGTTGCTTTATCTTTCTAAACTGAACTCTACCATCCTTCATAGTATGAATGTAAAAACCTTCTGGAATAGTTCCTGATTTAATGTATTCTACCAAAAACTTTTGTTTCATTGCTTCAGTGACTTTAGTCGTCATTTTACTCTAAATAAAATGTTCAAATAAAATAAAAAATAACGTTATTTTTTCAGTAAGGAAACGCAGGAGTTTTACGATTTATTTGTGGTGTGGGTTCTGGTTTAAATGTTGGAGTCGTTTTTGGAGTTGACTTTTGAACAGGAGTTTGTAGTTTCATAGGTTCAGGAGTCATTGAAGGTGTTGTTTGTGAAGGCGTTGGTTTTGACGTTGGTTTTGGCGAAGGTGTCGGAGTTTGTTTAACTTCAGCTACTTCAGTATTATTTACAACATTTGCTTTATTTCTTTTCAACATCATTACTGCTCCTGCTGTAGCTAGCAAACCTAGTGGGAGACCATATATTATATAGGGACTTGACCAAATGCTATTTTTGACAGGAGCTGGTGGAACACCTAACCTTGGTGAAACTGCTCTTTGCCATTGTGCAGCTCGTAAGAAATATTCAATAGGTGCTCCATAATCGTTTGGTAAAGTTTGTTTCACAGATGGTGAAGGTTCACGAGAGCTTGATGAAGAACTCATTTATAAGCTTTAAAAATAAACGTTCATCCTTTATTCCTCACTGTCGTCCGCAGCTAAGTTATAGTCATCTAATCTTATTATTGGTATGCCTGACTGTCTTACTTGTATTGCAAAGCAACAATCCCTCATAAATCCAATAAGTGGCTTTGGTACATTTTCAGTTGCTAGTTCAATAGGTCCTTTAACAGACAATTTGTATGTTATTGGAGCAGTAGATGTTTGACCTTGCTGGAAGCAAAAGTCCACTTCTGTTGGAAAACCACATAAGAAATGTGTGTTGTCATAGCTATCCCATTTATGTTCCACACTACCATCATCCACCAATGACCTCATAACATCTTCATTAAATCCTATCATATCATTGTTTGTATTGCAAGCGTTCGCAACCATTTCATAAAATACAGGTCCATATGATTTTTCAGGTTCTGCAGGCATATTTCCATAAGCTCCCATGGAAAGCTGAAGATATTTAAACTTAGGGTTCTCAAAATTAACATAATAGTTGTCTTTCTTTTTAAATAGTGCCCAAATACTTTTAACATTAATAGGCGTATAAGCTGCTGTAAATGTTGCACTTGAACTATCTGTATTCTTTGAGAATGAACCGTCCATAGGAATCCAATCCATAACTTTAACAGGAAAACATAAAGCCTCGTTTGTATAATGTTCTACAAGTTCTGTATAAATGTTAGGGTCTAAAGAGAATGATTTGGATGAATGAAACATTCATTAAAATCCATCTTTGTTCGAAATAGTTGCTGGGTTACAGTTGTAATATTAACTGTTCCACTAGCTTCTATTGCCTTCGTTATCATAGTGAATGGTTCATTCCATGGAACAAATTTATTTGTCGGTGGATTTGAATCTGAAGCAAATGCAACTTTAAGAGTTGGATTGAAAGCAATGATATCATTTACAGATATAGATGTGCATTGTAATGCGTCGCTACTGAACTTTACTTTAACTGAATGTTTCCTGCAAAAGCTGGAATAAATCGAATAGCTTCTAATGGAAGGAATCTTCTAACAGGAATTCTTAAACGAAGCTTAAAATCAAATGATTTTCCTGCTGTAATTGGACCACTAACAATTTGTCCTGTTCTGCATGTTCCCGAATGACTCCATACATCTTCATGTCGAGTCTTTGAAAAAACATCTACTTTCTTTATTTGTTCGTAGTTTGTGAGTTTGAAGTTATATATGCTTCTTCTCTTGCGTTGTCTTGAGAATATATGATACGACCATTTGCAAGGATTTGATATCCAGCAACTGCATAGAAAGCGTCATCGAAACCAATCCAAAATCCTGGTGGGTTTGTTTTATTGGAACCTGAACCAATTTCTTTATCTACAATAAATTGACCTTCCATTTTATACGTAATGAATGTATTGTAAAGGTCCAACATATTTTCACCAGGAGGTGAGAGATTGAATGTTACCCATGTGTTATCTTTAGCAGTTCCAGGTTGTGATGGTATCTTTGCGTCAGAATATTTTCTATTAGTGTCACCAATTTGAACTGCATTGTCTATGATATCGAAATATGAGCGAATCTGATGAATATGCTCTGCTGGAGTAAATTCGTTTAGCTGTTCGTTTTGCATGTATTTACTTCAGATAAAAATATCTATTTACTTCATTATTCTCACTCTTCTTCTTGGTATTCGTGGTGGAAGTTGTTTTTTGACATTTTCAATGAACTGTACATTCTCTTTTGTCTCAACTTCTTTCACTGGTGGGTCGGGGTTCTTTGACTCGGTATGCTTTTCAATGAAATTCACGAACTTTGCAATAAGCTCTTGGTTCGTTATTGAAAGTACATCTGACTTCTTTTCTTCTTGTTCTTTTGGTGGCTCAGTTTGAACAGAAGGTTTTATATGGGCTTCGCCCTCGGTGCCATGCACCTTAATGTTGTCGCTCTCTGCATTCGCTAATGGAACCTTTCTTTTTCTTACATATATTTTACCATCTTTACTCTGACTTACATAATAGAAAGGATGTTGTATTCCTCTGGCGTCATTTAATATAATAGACTCTCGTTCTGATTTTGACAAGCTCATTTTACACCGGTTAAAGTTTTAATTTTGTTTTTTATCTGCAGTCAAATGACTCAGACAAGCCCTACGGACAAGACCCAAGGGGTCATAGATGTTGAAGCATTGAAGAAAGAAATTCGTGAGCAAATTTTATCCGAACTGAAGGAACAAAAACAAGAACAAAAGCCAGAGAAACCAAAGAGAAAACTTAGTGAAAAACAACTTGCTGCATTAGCTGCTGGAAGACAGAAGAACCCACGTTTGCTGGCGAAGAAAGCTAGAGAAGAAGCAAAAGCAAAGGAAGAACAAAAAGCTAAAGAAGCTGAAGCAAAGAAAGAGTAAATGGTTTATTTTTATCAGAACTAAATGTATAGACAAATACCTTTATCTGTTGCGTTCAGTAGTGAAAACCCTGACGTCAAAATAAAGGGGAACAGAGTAACGTTTAAGTTTCCAACAGACTGGATTGTGAACATAAATGAAGATAAGTACATTGGCATAGCATCTATGTATATAACACGTGCTTTCAGAAAGGTTGACTTTATACTTCAAGTCGAGATAGAAAATGACGAACAGTCTTTAAGTGCCCAAAACATTCACATATACAAATACTTTAAAGACGATACAACATTGTTGCAATGTATGATTTCATTTAATGAAATGTTCGAGAAAAAGTTCAACATTGAAGTACAAACTTTACAGCCTTTACGTGAGTTTCTTGCACAACTGAAAGAAGAAGGTAGTCGGCCACAACTTATAGACTTTCATTATGAATTTAATGAAAATGAAGATGGAACTCATGACTGTCAGTTTGTTATATATTCACCATTCAATGAAGTCGCTAAAAAGAAAGAAAATCCACTACGTATAAGATTTCAAATCTCTGAACCCAATGAAGACTTCAAGAATGTTTTCAATTATGATGCAATGCTTCCGAGGAAAAATGAATTTTCAAAGATTGTAACACCTGGCATTTGGGATAGAAAGCAAGCTATATTATATTCAAACTTAAGTAAGGGAGTTGAAAATGAGTTCATTGGTCATACAAGAACTTCACCACTGCCAAATCCTAAGTATTACAAGCTTACTGGCTTCAATCGTGAGTTTTGGATAGATATGTACTCCACTCATGACCATAAAGCACCTGTTTTGCTACCTCCAGATGGGAAAGATTGTCTTTACATCGAAGCACAACTGTTGAACTCAACCATCGCAGTATTGTAAATGACCTCATGGGCTTCGCCCTTGTCGCTAGCGGCTTATTTTTATTACGAATGACCTCATTGCTGACAAAAATAAATGACCTCAGAACTTCAACTTACGAATAAAGCTTGTTTTAGTCGTTATTGAGAAGTTAAACTTCTCTTCAAAGCAAGGTTGACATGACTTACATAAGTCAAATCCAAGCTCTTGACCATCATGAAGTGCTTTGTAAAGTTTCATTAAACTGAACTCAGAGTCTTTGTCATATGTTCCAACAGGTATGTGAATGTTCTTATCTTCATTGTAATAGCATTGTATAGCTTCAGGAAACATTTCATTAGCTGTTAAAGCAAGGACGTCTTGTTTGACACCTTTGCAACGTGCATGGAATGCAACTTCATTTAAATCGTTAGTGAGTAAGTCTATGTAAGTCTTCTTTCCACAAAATATTGACTTGTATGCTAAACTTTGTTTTCCAGGTGTTATTTCTGCAAAGTCGCTATGAAATTGACCTAATGTTTTACCAATAAGTTCTCTACCGTATCTCTTCTTAAATTCTTGAGCTAAACGTGGTATGTCTTCATTGAAAATATGCATGCTATCACAGTCCTGGTAAAATATTTGAAGACCCATGTCCTCAGCAGTACAGAATACTTCATTCATTATTCTCTTCGACATTGATAGAATATTTACACCAAGTGGACAGAAGTTAAAGTGTCTGCAAATGCTTTTCGTTAGCTTGAAAATAGTTTTATCCGAACCAGCCAAACCTTCGAACTTCACTATATGGTTGTAATTTCTTATAGCATATCTTATAGCATCTTTGTCATCTACTATGGTTATTTTTGACTCAATAGGAGATAGAATAGTTTTGCCATAAATACTGTTCAGAATGAGTTTTATAATTTCTTGTAATGGGTTTTCTTCTTTCTTATACTTTAACCTTAACTCAAACAACTTCTTTACTTCATCTCTTATTCTAATATCTCTGTTTCCATCGTAATAGTATCCTTGCAACACTTCACATTTGACACCTTGATATTTTATGAGGTCTTGTAATGTTATATGGTCAACATACATTAAACAGCAAGTGTTTGAACTTCTGGGAACGTTAAGTTCTGGATTTAGTTCAGGGTCACAAACTATTAAAGGAAAGTGTCTGGGTATGCCAATCTCTGTTATCTTAATGAGAACAAAGAAGCCTGACATAAACTTTTCACCAATGGGTTCCTTTTGGTCGTCATCGAATAAATGCTTTAACAAATATTCAGAACTTAACATCTCATCCTTCAATACTTTTGGAATTCCTTCTAAAGTATACAATCTTGCAATTGCTGATGGATATAATGAAACAGCGTCGAAGTCAGCAATGAGTTTCTTTTTGCTCTTTTGTTTAATGTTATCTGACAACATACATCTTCCACATTGAATGCATCTCGAAATAAATTCTCTTGGTTTATTTGAGAGGTCATAAAGATTTCCATTCGGGAAGTATACTCTGTTCTCAAATAATTTGTTAGCAATTGAACAAATACTAACGTAGTCATAAACGTTTAAATCAAACTCTTTCAATAAGTCATTGCGGAACTTTACAAAACCTTCTCTTAAAATTCTTACATCTTGTTTGCAGTAAAACGTGCTATATTTTTCTAAGTCGAAGTGGTTCTCATCTATTCTGCAACCTTTGATGGAATCTATGTTCTTCATGAATGTATCTGCATCCTTGACAAACTTACATGCTTCAGAAATGACACCAGTTCTGTTGTCATTTGCTAACAAAGTACTGCTGTAGTAGTTGTATGGAAATACTTCTTTCGGTCCTGTTTGTAAGTTAAACATAGCAGGAAATAGTTTAAGCTTCTTATTTATAACACTGTAAGAGTCTTTTATAATAATTGCCCGTCCTTTATATAAGCCAGTTATTTGCATTGTTCGTGAACCTTTAATGATGGGAGTTCCTTTCACTTCTGTCATATGTCTTAAGATAAAGTTTATGTCATAGCTGAGGTTATGGAAATATATTAAACTCTTTTCAGGAAGTCGTTCCAAAAATTCTGTTGCACAATTCTGATCCCAAATGCTTTGACTCACTGAACAATTTTCACTGTCGTAACAGATGTTAAAAGCTTTATGAAAGCCGTCTGTGCTACACTCAAAGTCAGCAAAGAAAACGTGCTCAGGTATGAATTTACATTTAGCTTTATTTACTTCTTTTGACTCTGCTTTCTTCTTCAGTTGTACACAATACTTTGGAGCATACGTCCAATCTTTAAATGGTGCAAGGTTCTGTTTATATAAGTCAGTCGTATATGTGAAAAGTTCTCCATAAGAAATAGGTTCAAAATATTTGCACTCCCACAATGTTTTCATAACATCCCATAACGGTGTTGTTCTATCATAACGAACTACATATTTATCTTCTCTCTTTGTATAAATCTTCATCTGTTTCTCAATGTTCATTCCACCACAAGCTTTGAGAATTTCTTTATAGTTGCGAATGAAGTATGTTGTCATTGGAAGTCTTTCATTTAGCATGTAGTGGTCTTCAACAAGAAGTAAGTCAATAGTTCGAACAGTTTCATATTCTTTTGGTATATATCTCTTTATTTCATTATGTCTTGAGCCATTGAAATAACCAATGGTAGCATTGAATGCTATGCTTGTTGCGTCAGAAATTTCCTGAATCTTACTTTGTGGAAAGTCTTTAACACGAATGACTTCTCTCATGTGGTCAATAGTTTCTTCATTTACTCCAGCCTGAATGCAAGCATAAACGAAACAATTGTCTTCTGTCATAAGTGTTGCAGTTCTTTTGTTCAGTTCATTGAAGATTTGGTAGCGTTCAAGATTTATAGGTAACGTGCAAAGATACTTCCAGAACTGACCGCTTCTCTTCTTATAAAACTTCTTTTCACCATTATCTTTCCAAAAGCTTTCTATAAGTGCTGGGTTTCCTGTTTGCTTAAGAGCTTCCAAAATGACTTTCTGGTCATTTGTCAGTGTGCTTTCATCTCTATATGGTCTCTTTTTTGGTTTGCCTTTCTTTACATCTGACATCGTTAAGCCTTCATATTCTGTTAAATCATACATCTTTATTTCGGTAAGATTCTTTATGTTTGTCAAGAAGAAGTCATAGTGCATTTCAACAATACCTGCGGCATTTGCTTCTATCTCTGATATAAAGTTCTCCTTCAAGAGCTGATGTAGTAATGTTCCAATATTATTGAGGTTTAACGTAGAACATTCATACTTTCCACCAAGTTTATAACATACCATCCATCTCTGTTGTGAGTTTATTTTAATCTTCTCTAAGAGTCTCATGAAAACCTTACCGATATGTTTGTGTAAATATTCTCTGTTTGGTTCATCTAAAGCTTCGATGTTAAAGTCAATGAGTCTATTGCCTGACTTCACATTCCTCTTCCTATTCTCTTCATCTTTCTTTAACCATCTCTCACCTTCTTTTGGTTTGTCGTCAATGGAACGAATGACATTATTAGCTTTGCGAACTTGTTCTATAGCACTTTTAAACATCTCTCTTCTCTGTTGTTTCAGTGTGTCATCTCTCTTTCGTGTTTCACCAACGTTTGAGTTCGTAAGTTCAAACATCTCTTGACGAACATCATGTGAAAGAGCTTTACGAGTATGACCAACGTTTGCATTTGTTATGTCAAACATTTCTCTTCTTACTTCATGAGGTATTGAACGTCTATGATATAAGTCAATAGCAACGTCATTTAAAGGAAAAGTTCTTGCATGGACTTCGTCCTCGCCGCGTTGCGGCTTTATGAACTCATGAATTCTATCATAAGTTATTTCACCATTGTAGTCTTTAATGAAGTCAGCGAGTGATTTTTTGTTTGTCGCGTAATGTTTTGCAACATCTATGTTAGCTTCTGTAAGAAGTTGTTTTATTTCCGAGTGTTCTAACTTAGACAACTTCCGATACATCTTTAGTAGGAAATAAAAAAATATTTTTTGAAAAAAATTAGATTAGATTTTTTTTAAGTTATTTTTCAAAATAATTTAATATTTTTATTTTAATGAAACACATGCAAGATTGCAAGTTCTTTTCATACAATGCTCTCGCTAATGCCATCAAGAATGAGTTCAATGGTGCTTCAAACGTTAATGTTATCTTTAACAAGAAGTTTGTGAAAGAATCTAAGTTTGGTCAGTATGTCAGACCATTAGCTATTGTCATTGACCGCAAACGTTATACTTCACAAGAGTTAGCAGTAGTTTTGAAACAAAAGGGTTTCTTCGTGAATGTCAAAGATACTCATTATACTGTCATAAAGAACTCCAACGTTGACTTCTTCAGTATTGCTATGAATCTTTCCGAACAGAAAGAATATAAGAAAGGTGAAACATCTGTGAAATATTATCCTTCATCTCTGAAAACAATAACGAACAAAGATGTTATACAAAAGTTCTTACCAAAGGTTGAAGAAGCTTATATTGACATTGACGAAGGAAGTGAAATGGTTGAAGAAATTGACCCTGACGTCATTTAAGCAAAAATATATTTTCGGTTAGTCTTCATATCGATATTTTACAACAATTCCCCAATGTATAAATTTTTCATACGCTTTTTCATAAGCTTTATATACCTTCAGAAATTTTGCATAATCTTTAGAAGCATTTAGATATTGTTTAAATGCTTTGTATGTCTTCAGAAATTTTGCATAATCTTTTACATGTTGTTCGTTCTCTTCTTCTGTCATGAGTTCCGAATATTCTAAATTCATGCTCTTTTATATGAGATAAAATTTATAAAAAATAAAATTAGCTTAGATTTTTTTTCATTCTTCCTCTTTGAAGTTGTCGAAATATTCTGTTATCTTTTCTTTCAGTAATGTTAAGTCTTCTTTGAATGTAAGTATTGTGCAACCTCTAATATCATAATGTGTTTGAGGAAGTGTGTCTTGAACTATCTGTTTAACATCTTCATTAGGTGTCATTGAAATCGGTAAGTTTTCACGATAGAACCAGTTTCTGTCAGATTTATATATTTTAGCGAGGTCATAAAAGCTCTTGTTGTTTCTTCTGACTAAATGCAACATAACCATATCTTTATCTTCTTCATTCTCCAACTCTTCAGTATATATCATATACTTATAACTCTTTTCCTTTCCTTTTGGTACTGAACGTGGTATTCTTTTCTGTATGCTTTTGTCTTTGGATTCAATGACTTCATCTTTTGCTTGAAGTTTCATTTCCATATCTTCACGTTCTGCTTTATATAGTTCATCTAACATCATGAAAATATAACAAGCATAACGAGGTGAAGCCCACATTGCTACAGCATTTACTAAAAGTCTATGAATATAATAACCTTTCAAACCAGGAGCCAAATTTTTGCGATTTTCGTACGGAATCTCTTCTCTCGGTTTTCCGAGGGAAGCAATCATATGAGGAAATTCTTCTAAAAGTTCTTTTGACTGTTGGTTTTCAAACCAATGATATGCTTGCTTTGTAGAACGAAGAGCATTCATTATACTTTGCACCTGGTACATGTCGTCTTTGACAGAACGAATGAGTCTCAATTGTTTGTTATACTGTATGTACTCGTATTCTTCATTTATGGCTTCATGAACGATAGCAATTGTTGTGTTCTCTAATGTTGTCATTACTGTCTTTACATACAAAATAAAAAAATAAATAAAAATAAAACTAACGTTATTTTTAAAATTTGTGAAAACTCAACGGTTTGACACGTGCCATATGTCATTTTACTCAGAATTTTGTGCTGAATTCAGCAAAAATATATTTTTAGGTGAAGAGGTGAAATTTCACCTAATTTTTCACCCCTTGAACTTTTTATAACATTCGGTCATAACTTCATCAATTTCATTTAAATCACGATTTAAAAACTCATTGACTTCATCTTTAACCGTGTCATCTTGTAATAAGAATATTTTCTTTAGTTTCATGTCAACATCCCGAACAGCACAAAGGATAAAATCATATTCATTTCTTCCGTTAAACATACTTTTTCTTTCTCGTTCATCGTTAAATAAATTATTGAAAATATAAACAGCGGTGTAAAAGTTATGTACTGTGTTAAATGTTGAAGCTTCACCTATTTTAGATTTTAGGATTCTTTTAGTAAGTAAATTGTTATCGTTCTTTCTCTTTTCCTTATCGTTCATGTCGAATCTGTCGAACCACATATCCTGTATTTCATCGAATTTACGAACTATAGAATCCGTCATTTCCCTGGTTAATGAGGGGTAATCATTATTAATTTTTTCATATAATTTGTCCATATGATTTTCATCGACGTTTCCGGAAAGCATTTAATTAAAGCAAAAATATATTTTTAGGTGAAGAGGTGAAATTTCACCTCTTTTTTCACAAGCATTTTACATGAATTGTACGATGGATATTTGAAATCCTAAACAGTTTTGTAGCTTCTATTTCTTCGCTGAGGATATCAAAAGTTTTAACAACGCCGAAAGTCTCTTTATATTTCTTCTTGACGTCAGACAGAAGGAAATCTTCTGCTGTTGGATAGTTTTTATTAAGAAATGCCAACATATCCATTTTATCTTCTGCTGGCTTTTCTGCTTCTTTCTTTAAGTCTGCATAGTCGTTTCGCATTCTTTCTATCTCTTTGACTGAGTAGTTATATTTTCTTATTGCTGCCTTACATTTTGAACTTTGCGGATTCATTTTTGCGTTATACATTGAAACCTTACCAGCTAAAACAACTAAGGCGTCAATGGTTTTCTTTAACTCAAAAGTTGTTGGTTTTATTTGTCCATTCCATATTTTACATCTTTTATCTTTATTTCTTATCTGCCATACACATTCAGCAACTAACGAAACAAAGTTGTCGTAGGTCTTAAATTCTTCAGATTTATATATGTCAGAAACATTCTTATATACCATATCGCAATCTTTGTCCATAACCTTATGGTTGCAATGAAAACCAAGGAATTCATAATTTACTTTACGTATGAACTTCTTTATTTCTACTGAGTCGGTTGTTTTTACTTCTATTTCATCGAATTCAGGAATAGTGAGCTTTTGTTGTTGGATTTCAGGCAATTTAGGCAAATGGTCGATGAGGTCCTGCATTTCATAAAGATACTGTTCATTTGTTTCATCTTTCACACTACATTCTAAATTACTTGTTAAAAGTTCTTGCTTTATCTTCTGGATTTCTGTTTCAAAAGTATATGAAGAAGGAATAAAGCTTTTCATCTCTACCAACATTGACGTAGGATTCATGACTAATGAATTTGGTGCTGTAGTTGTGGACAGAGTCCCGCCGTTCGCGGCTTGAATTGTTGTTGTGCCGATTGTTGAAATCATATCTTTTATACAAAATAAAAAATAAATAAAAATAAAACTAACTTTATTTTTTTCTATCTTAAGGAAATTCATGAAAATTCACGAGATCCCACGGATCATCTCGCCACTTAGCGGCTGAGGGTGAAAAACCGGGTGAAAAATTAGGTGAAATTTCACCTCTTCACCTAAAAATTATTTTGACGTAAATTTACAGTATTTATGAAAACATTAATATATAAAATAAATGAAAACATTAATGATATCATGTCTGTTCTCGTTCATGTCTGATTTACATCTAATGAAAAAGTTTAGATGAATTTTCTTATTCTTTCTGGCATATTTTTATCTTTCCAGTACTCCCGCTCTAATGGACCCAGATGAGTTGGTTTAGATTCTCTCAAGTTCTTAGATGGTATAACATCTTCAACGCCTCCTTCATATCTTACTTTATAAGTGTCATCGTTTATGTTGTAGCCAAGTATTTCAATAACCACTCCTCGCTTTGCTTCGTCAATGGTTTCAGCAAGTTTGCCATTACTACTTTCGACTAATTTATGACGAGGGTAAAATGCAATGGAGTCGTCAGCAGCTTTTATAAGATATCCATTACCTTGCGTAGAGTCTACGATATAATAATTTCGACTTAACCTTAAACGTTTCTTTGTCAACGGTTTGTCGTCAAGAACTACACGAACTTTTGTACCAGGAATGAGGGTAAATTGTGTTGAATTTCTGATATTTTGTGTTTGGCTTCGTTTCTTTTGTATATACTTTTCTTCTTGTTGTTGTGTCATTGAATTTGGTGTATGTCCTGTTGTAGAATGTGTTGAGGAATTATATACTTCGAGAAAGTGTTTCATTGTTTCTTCGGTAAAGTCTCGCTCTTGGTTTAAATCTCTGAGCGTTCTTATGAAGCGGTTAATGATACCGAGTATGTTATGGTTATGGTCTTCAGTAGTGTAGTGAGTTATGTTATGCTTAATGAGAAATTCTGTGATTTCGTTGCTGAGGTATGCACCGTCTTGGTCTGATGTTAAAGTACTTGGGTTATGTTCTGCTACAAACTTTTGTAAAACTCTTAACACTTCACGAGTTCCTTTGTTCCTCATTGGATATGCATATGCTTTACGAGTGTTAACATTTATGAAGATGAGGAATGGTTTATGTCCTCCTTTTCTGCTTTGAATGAGAGTATCAAATTGGTATGCGTCTGGAGTGTTGGAGTAAATTGGTAAAAAGTAGTCGTAAGGGTTTATTTTTGTTTGATGTACAACATTTTTGTCAAAGAACCTTTTCACTTCAGCTCTGTTAGTAAATCCCCAACTTTTTGCAGCTTCATTGAATTTCTTAAATGACCTCCATGGATGTTGTTCGAATACTTCTTTCAAGCTCATTTAAGTAAAAATAAAGATTTCATTGAACTCGGTAAACCTAGACCCTTTGAGTCAAGGCTCAAGCGCGTTCATTGAACGCGGTACCATGCGAATACAGTCATAAATGGTGGCATATAATCTGCACCACTTCCTGTTGGATTTGTTGTGAAAGTGTGTGAATGATTTCCTCCTGGTTCAGTTGGTCGAAAAGTCTTTTTTGCTGAATTGTTATAAGATGGAGATAAAACGTCATTGCCAGCTTCATAGTCTGAGTTGTATAATGGGTGGTCTCTTAATGAGTGGCTATGATCGCCAGAAAAGTTTGTAGTTCCTGTGTGCTTATGTGGTGGAAGATTTGCTTCTAAAATTTTCTTTGAACCTCCTGTTTGCTTTGAAGAGTTAGCACAATAGAGGAATTTATCTACAATCTGTTGCCATGTACCAAAACCTAAAACACTTGCCGGATTTGTTGAGTTCATTGACGTATAAATAGAGCCTATAGGATATATGGTTTCAAGAATCTGAGTCTTCATTGTTTGAAGTTCATGTTTAACATTTATAAATCCATCGCCGTCTACAATATTTATATTGTTTGTTATTAAACCATTAGGAAAAGTAGGAGGATAAATATTTTGTTCAACTAAAGGTGTACCGTCTCTTCCTGTTTTTGTTACTTCTTCAATGTATGCATTAATTTCTTTAATCCTGATTGTTTGAAATTCTTCATGCGTATGGTTTTTGTCTGCTTTTCCATTAACCGCATCATTTACTTCTGACTTCTTCACATAATTTTCATCTACCCATTCCTTTGCTTCTTCTGTATAACTCATTGCTTTTGTATCATAACGATTTAATTCTTCATCTACATATATTTTGTCGGTTTTATTGGCTAAATCAACAACCATATCTCTTAGGTTAGTGTGCATATCTTCATCACGCATGCTTGATGAAGCAATAGCCCAATTCAATATTATCTCATCAGCTCTAATAGTTGTGAAGAATTCATGTGTATGATTTTTGTCTGCTTTCTTATCTAACATTGCTGGTAGTTCATGTGTTTAAAGTTTCTGACATGTCCTTCCATATTAGTGCATTTACTATCTAAACTATTAAGAGTATCTTTTACGCTTGTACTTGGATTCTCTAAAGGTGCACTTGAACCAAGGGTATAATTCAATATTATGTCGTCTGCTCTAACAGTAGTGAAGGATTCATGTGTATGATTTTTGTCTGCTTTACTGTCTAAAGAAGTTTGAAGTTCCTTTATATCGGAGATATTGTGTTTATGAGATTTCAAAACTTTGTTCATTGCGTCAAGTTCATTTTTGTCAGCTTTACTTTTAATAGCATCTTCAAAAGTTATTTTTGCCTTAACTCTCAAAGTAAATCTTGGTTCAACTAATACACCGTTAACAAAGAAACTAGAGGCATAAATTTCAGCGTTATAACCAAATGTTTGTGGTGCTATACCTGTGTCATACTGTACAGTACAGCGTATGTCATAACCTTTAGCACGAATGTATTTATATCTTCTTTCATTAACATCTTTTGTCTTCACTTTTTCATCCTGTGTTAAATATCCATGATAATCCGTTATAATCTGTTCATCTGAACTTATATAATGAACATGGTTTTTATCTGCTTTTTGTGAAAGAAGTTCAACAACTTTTGCTTCACTTATGTTACCAGTGTCACTTTCATTTATTTTTGTCAGCATTGCGTTCAAAACTTCATAAAGACTAACTACTTCTTTTGGTTCTTGAAACAATGAGTCAAAAGTCTTTCTTAACATTACATCTTCAACTGTTATGACTGAGTCAATACCTTTCTCTTTTATTGTCTTAGCTAACTGACCTAAAACAACGAACATATAGTCTAAAATATTATCTTCAGTGTTAAACACTATACGTTTTCACGAATTGTTGTGTTTGTTGCTGTTAAAACTTCTTTAAACTCAGGATATATATTCAGTAGATTTTCAACAATTGTTTGAACCACTTGTCCTCCTTCATCTAAATCTCTTGCTGCCATTAAAGGATGTAAATTAATTGGTTCAATAATTCCGAGACGAGGGTTGTAAGCAAGTCCGTCGAACATATTTTTACGTTTGAGTGCCCAGTTAGTTAGTTTCTTTGTATTATTGTTACTTTACCCCATAAATTTTTGAGACCGTCAAAGAAACTTCCTGTATTTCCATGTAATTTAGCAAACTCAACATAAAACTTCATGCTATCTATGCCACCAAGAAAAGCCCAGAGTGCATCTATCTCACTTTGCATGGTTATAAGAGATGCAGTTGTTACACCTGATGAAAATAAAGTAAACAACCACCCTAACCAACTCTTACCTGCTCCACTTTGTTCTACTTTCACAAAATCACTGATATGACTTTTTAAGTATTCTTTCGTAAGTAATGTGTCTCCAGGTGTAACGTCTCTAACGATATTATCTCCGTCAAAAGTCAATGTTCTAACTTGTGTCCGTGCAGCCTTTATTTTAAGACATGCATAGTCTGGTGTTTGAGGAGCAGAAGGCTCGATGTATGTAATTTTAAAGAAATCGTCATAATTTTTCTTAAAGGTTTCATATGTTGTTTTGAATGTATTGAACCTCATTATTATATCAAGAAGTTTTGTCAATGAGTCAGCAATTGCTTCATCTACTGTTGACGTTTTGAGTTTTATTTCTGCTGAGTCGTTTATGAATGGTACTTGACATTGAGTTGTATATGGGTCAAATCCTGTAGGACCCAAATGAAGCAAGTAGTCTAAAATATCACGAACAGACTTTGAGACAGTTGTGTTATCTTTCATGACGATTTCACCATTTACAATGAATGGCATAGTACATGAAGTTATTTGTGGGTCAAAACCAGAAGGATTGAAATGAAGCATATAGTTCAGCGCCTCATACACTGACTTATACACTGTTTCATTATTTTTTGACACAATTTCACCATTTTCAATGAATGGCATTGTCGAAGGAGTTGTTTTTGTATCGAACCCTGAAGGATTGAAGTTAAGAATGCTTTCAAGAGCTTCATATACAGACCTATAAACAGTTGTGTCGTTCTTCATGACAACTTCACCATTTACAATGAATGGCATAGTACATGGAGTTAAAATAGGGTCAAACTTTTCATAGTCCTTCCATGTTATATATTTCTCAGTATTTCCATCAGAAATAACAATATATTTGTCAGTAAGTGTGAGAGAGTATTGACCAAAATATAAACGTTTAGCTCTGTCAGCTTCATACGCATATGCAGCTATACTCATATTTTAATGAGAATAAAATGTTGTTCTATTTGCAAAGTACAGACCCAAACGAATACGGGACAGTAAAGCTACAAACAAACTTAGGTCTACAGAATGAGGCGCTTGCATTCAGAATGGTTGACTTCAATACTATCGCTTCATTCGTTATAACAGATGAAACAGATTTCATGGAGCTTGAAATAGATGGAAAGAAGCACGAAATAAGATTTCACAATAATGTAGAATATAAGATGGAAACATTAGCTGGAGTGTTAAATGCTCTCATAAATACTACAATAAACAAGGATAACGGAGAAAACTTAATGAATGTTAAACTTATTGCAGGAGTTTTGAAGTTCAGTTATGCGAAGGAGTTTAAGATAACACGAATGAGTCATAGAGTCAACTTCTGGGTGCATACCATATGACATTTCCTTTGAAAAGTGTTGACAAAACGATTGAGATGAAATCTGTTCCATACGTATGTTATGGCAATTGTTTGTACATTGAGTCAAAAATAGCTAATGTCACAGGTATTTCAGGAGTTAATAGTAAAGGTTCAGTAGAATATAATCCTTCTGTTATGCAGTCAATTCAATGTTCATTCCAAACGTTCCTGTCATAGTAACTCATTTAGGTAAATGGGTTCGCATAAGTCCACATAATTTGAAAGATATGCAATTCAGACTAGTTGACTTTCAAGGCGAGCCCGTAGTACTGAAGGCACCAGTGCGAATGACTGTTGAAGTTGACTTTTTAGAAAATATTAAATGCAACGGCTTACAAGAGAACTCAGAGCTAAAAATATAAAGTATGAATGTTATGTATTAGGTCATGAACTTTGGTTGTTGCTGTTTGATGAAACAAATGAGTTAGTTATGTCAGTCAAGAGAACAGAAAAAGGCGTCAAAGGCGCCGAGCGCAAAGCGCTATATTGTGTTAGTGAAAATTGCACCAAGTCAATAAGATTAGGTTTGCATTATGAAGATGAGTTCAATAGTGTTGAAGAAGTTTTGGACAGATATTACAAATTGCTAACTTGAAATTTTTTTTGACTAACGGCGCAAAGCGCCAAGACCGAAGGTCCTGACTGTTTTAATTTACTAAAACATATTTCAAACAAAGCTTCTAGTAAGTAGATAGTTTTGTATACTCGTTCGAATATCTATACTTAAACTCAACTCCTGGAGTACCTGGTATTTCAATGATGCGGATGTTACCTATTTTCATGAATATTGGCGTTTGACCACAGCATTCGATTTCAGGGTCGAGATAGTCAATGACACATTGCTTTCCTGTTATTCGTGATATAATATTTTCAAGGTCCTCCTTTGTTAGAATTATTTGGTTCTTACTTATAAGATTTGTCAAAAGCTTCTTATCGTCTTTGAGTAAGATAGTTTGATATAACTGAAGAAGGTAATGGTCTACGTTATCTGAAGGATTTGTTTGAACATTTGTGTAAGGATTGTCGTTGACTTCTCTTGAAAGAACTTGGTCCGGTGGTGGATACTCTAACTTAACATCTGATGTAGCGTTAGCGTTTGAAGCTGAGTTTAAATTCACCGACTTAAGTTCTGGTTCTTTGTCTTTCAAACATTCTGAACTATAGTTCTTTATGACAATATTGTTTGTCGTTCGTGAGTCAACATTTGATGTTGGTTCAATTGGAACATTAACGGCACCAGCTAAGATGGATTTGCTTCTCATTTCATATAGAATAAAAACCTTTTATATGTATGAAATGAACAATATACTCGACAAGGGTTTGAATGTAAAGCTAACGAATGAAAATATTGTTGAATTCACTGAGACAGGTGCTGTGTATAAAGATGTAGAACTACTGAACAAAAGAGCAAAGGGAAGAAGCAGGAATATGAACAAAGGGTGGAAACCTATAAAAATTTATGTCAATGATGGTTCAGGAGGTTCAAACATAAAGTATGCAGAAAGTTATAGAGTTTATGCTCTCAAGGGAGAGAAGCCTTCATTTAAGAACAGCTATTCTAACACATATCCTCAAAAGTTAACGGATGGGGAAGTGGATGATATGAATGACAGCAAAAATATTAACAGAAATGGTGACAGAGATGCATGGAATTTGTTTACCATCAGTCAATTAAAGCATAAGATTTAAAACAATGTTGGTCGTTCCCATGGAATATTTTTGACTTTAATGGTATTAGTCATGATATGAATCTCAAGGTATGAACGAGGAGAGATGAGAGACTTATATGCTTCCCAAATTTCTTCAAAAGGTAATGTTATACCTGACTGTTTCCAAATGAGTTCAATGTCATAACGTGAGAAACCTTGAAAGATAACGAAGTCAGTTATGAGACGTTTTATGTTTAAAGCAAGGAAACGCCATGTTTGCATAAGTATTGCTACAGTTAAATGGTAATGTCTGACTTTAGTAATGATGTTAGCTAATGGTGAGTCTGGTTTTGACACTAAACCTTTTCCGGCGAAGTCGTCACAAACGAGCAGAGTGTTTGAAGGATACTTTTTGAAGGGGTATTTTGAAAGTTTTGACAGAATGTAGTTTGTAAGTCGTTTCATATTGTAAACTCCTGAGTACTGACGTAAGTGGTGTTTGTCAATAATTCTTTCCATCTCCTCAGAGGTCTTTTGCATTCCTGACTGTATGAACTCTACGATGGCATAATATTTTCTCTTACATCGAATGTAACGTTGAAGAAATTCAATGAGTTCGCTATCTGGAACTTTAACGACAGATGCTTGAACTTTACTCATGAATGTTTTCGCTGTTGAATCCATAGAGTCTGAAGTTGCTGATATAATGATTTGGTCATAATATGAATCTTGACCTAAACGCTCTGTTATGAGTATATGACGAATGAGGTTAAATGTCTTTCCTGACCCCATCTTTCCACAATAGAAATACACACCATTTGAACAGAATTCATAATCTTTGCTGAAAGGAAGAATAAGAGAAGAGTTAAGTTTGTCTGTAGTTTCATTCATGTCTTCATCTACGTCATGTATTAAATGCTTCATTTTATCTCCATTAAAAATGCAAGTCAGAAATATTCAGAACATAGCACCGAGTCTAACTGACAAGAGTATAAAGATATACTATGAACACGTTATGATGAAACCAACCAAAATTCAAGAAAGTCAGTATACTTATGAATATCCAAGACACTGGGTAGAGTATGTAGGAGGTGAGAAAGCTATTGAAATAAGACAAGTTAGAAGTATTCCAGCAGGAAGAACAATATTATTGAAGAACTTTAATGTTTTGAGGTATAATGATGAAACAAAGAAGCAAGATAGTTTCCCTGTTGCTGTGTATGTGAACCTAGACACAGGAGATGACATGAAAGTTTTTAACACAAAGCTTCAAACGGTATTGAAAGAACAACTTATAGCAGAAGGACACCCATTACCTTCAGAAGTTAACATAGCATATAATTTTGAAACAAATGCAATAGATTTTAAAATCGTCTCTGCAAAGAAGTCAGGTTTTACATTTAATGAAGCAGATGTATATTCGGATGAAAACTTCAAAGCTATTGCATGGTTAGATAATGACGATTGCTTTAAGAAAATATTTAAATTCAGTGACTCAAAGATGTCAATAGATGTACTTCGTGGAATGTTACCATCGACGTTTACAGTTGAAGGTTCAGCGGGATTGCTTACAAGATTGTCAATTGGTGGCGTTTGGTCTTGTGAGAACATTGTTATAAAATCCAGTATAAGTGAATTTGCTGAAGAATCTATATTATGTCTTTCAAACTACATGTATTCGCCACCGAAGCATTATAGTATAACAAACTTTGTCAGTAAGTTTAACATAAGACTTGTTGAACCTTCTTCAATGAAAGATGTTGTGCTACCTAAAGATGGAAATGATGGGCTCATTATTGAAATGATTTTAATTGCATATTAAATGAGTTTGTTTTTGAAGGTCATTCATGATGAAATAACTGTTGTAGAAGATGTTAGCAATTGTTCAGACATTTTGAAGCGAATAGATGAGATAAGAAAGAAGTTTATGAATGAGAATGTTTATGTTTCATTGACTTTCTCCAGTAACGAGAACTTTTATGAGATAATATTGAAGAGAGATGATTTTAATATGGTGTAAATGGTAGCTTGGGCAGCTTTAGGCGCAATGGGAACAAAAGCATTAGCATTTGGAGCAAAAGCACTTGGAGCTTATGACGCAGTAAATAAAATGAGTGGAGGAAGAGTTTCAAAGACATTAGACGCAAATAAAGGAAAGATTGGAGGCTGGGTTGCAAAGAAGTTAAGATTAAATAAAATAGGGCTCATAAATAAAGCATCCAATTTGGTTGCGACTGAGTCAGAAAATGCTTTAGGAAAGGACGATGAGTTTGCAAAACACGCAAAAGACTTTAATGACCAGATGAAAGGTGAAACAATGCATTTAAATAGAGTCGATGGAACTAAAGAAAATGTTTCTTCTCCACAACTTCCACCAGTAGTTCTTCCGTATGGTCCCTATGGAATGTATGGAAACCCTTACGAAAGACCATTTGACCCATTGACTGGTGGAAGTAATTGGTATCATTATGGACGAAGAAGAAAGACAGTCAAGTTGGAGACGGACGTAAAGAAAGCAACTAAAAAGAAACCAAGGAAGAGAGTTATAAAGCAATGAATTCAACGGGGTGAAAAACCGGGTGAAAAAAGAGGTGAGATTTCACCGCTTCACCTAAATTTATTTTTTCACCTCTGACAACGTTTATTTTTAAGTTTATTTTTTATTGTGGGTGAAAAACCGGGTGAAAAAAGAGGTGAGATTTCACCGCTTCACCTAAATTTATTTTTGTGCTATGTTTTCATACGCGTGAAGGTAGTGATATAGGGTGTCCAAAGGTGTGTTTAGCACAAACCTGAATACTGCGAATAGAAATAAACAAGTTACATATATATAAAGTTTATTTAAATATAATCACCATTGGATTCAATCACGCGTTCGCAGCGATCGATCCAGGCTTGAAAGACACGCTTTAAATCATCATGAGAAAATTGCTCAGATTGCTCTCTTACAAAATTTTCAAGATCATCTGGACTCGCGAATTCGCGTCCTTCAGCTCTCTTTTTTAGCGTGCCGAATAAATAAAAGTCAGAGGGTGCAATATCAGGTGAATAAATTGGGTTTGGAACAACTTTGACATTGTTTTCCACCAAGTAATTCATTACCTTATGACTTTTGTGAACTCTTGAATTATCAAAATGAATTGCAAACTTTTGTTTTTGTTGTTTGGATTTCTCAAACTCATCAGAATTGATAATTTGAGTAAGAACATTGTCAATTAGATACTGAGCATTCATCGTATTAGGTTTTTGAAGAATATCAATTGCGATGATGCCATTCACGCCCCAAAAAACCGACAACATCATCATTGGTGTGTCAATTTTTTTCTTCGGGAATGTTTGCGGATTTTCATCCTTCGGGATCCACATGATTTTGGCTTCTGTTGCATATTGAAACCAAGACTCGTCCCCTGTTACTAAAAAGCGAAACTTCTTGGATTGATACGCACCCAATATAGAGAGGAGCTCTTTCGAAGATTGGACTCTAGATTTTTTTTGAACTGAATTAAGGTTGTGCGGAACCCAACGTGTATACGCTAGTTTGTAGTTCAAATAATTGTGCAGATAATAACTGACTGTTGTACGTGGTATCTTTGTCATCTCCTTTATCCTTCTGAGTGATGCTCTTGGGTCTTCATCTAGCGCTTGAAGAATTGCTTTGATTTTTCTTTGATCCGGCGATTTTTTGTCAATTTTTATGATGGGCGCCTTTTTGTTCATGAAGTGATACATCCTAACATGATACGTTACAGTGGAATAGCTAGGAGCATCCATACCGAAGCATTTTACCAATGTCTCGTAGATTTTTTACAGTCTTTGCATTTTTTTGCAAGAGCGAGGATGTTTTCTTTATGATTCATTAAAAAAATGAAAAAAATCCCGCCAAAATTTCCCGCGAAACCGCCTCTTGTCTCAAAATTCATTTTATATCCCGGCATGACGCCAAAATACAACATGCTCATCATATACATATATTCATATTTTTTATTATATATTTATAATCAGCATATATCTCCTTTAATAGTCTCATATAGAGCGCTGTGCTAAACGCACCTTTGGACACCCTATATCATTTATTTTTATTTTATTTTTATGTAAATGACGAAAACTATTGAGATAACAAACTACAACGGTCATGAGTTCAAGAACTTGTTCTTCGTTCCTCGTGAAAATACATTCTATCAGATACGAGGGAGAAAGGGTAAAGTTAGTTTGAGCGTTTATGACTACAAACATAATGGAAAGTTTATACAAGCAATAGATACAAACGGTAAGCGTGTTTCATTAGCTTTGTCAAAACTTACTAACATTTATTTTGACAGTGACTTTGACCTATATGAAGAAGAAAGTGAGTCAGAAGATTATGAGCTGTTATGTGAAGCACAGCAATGGGAGGAGTTGCAATACTTTTGTAAGTGAGAACGTTTATTTTTACATTAGTGAGGTGAAGTGGTTGGCGGCTTTGTAAATATTTAAGGTTAAGTTAGTGTTGTCGTTTGCGTTGTAAAATATACGTTAACGGTTTTGTAAAGTGTCAAATTCACATATAATGGGTAAGATGGAACGCGGTGCCGCCGTACCCTTGATATGTTTACTAACTCTTTTAGCTAAAATTTGGGTTTGCCAAACTATTTTCCGAATTGACATCCTTAATGAGTATAAACCTTAAGTGATGATATATCATAGTATCATATTCAAACTAAGTGAAAACGATGTTTATGATTATAAGGTTATCGAAAACATAAAAAAATAATACAAAATTTTTAAAATCCGGAAGGGAAAAAGTGCATTTATCTCAACATATGAGGCTTGAAAATAAACTTTGTTCTGTAAAACTTTTAGTATAACTATTGAAATTTTGTGTTTAATGTATCTCACTGGCTTAAACACAATATTGGAGGACTAGATACAAATCTAATTAAACTTTGAATGAGACAATTTCGACTGGAAACCACTACCATTGGGTTTGTTCCATAATGGCAATTAGCAGAATCCAGTGAGATTGTAGTGCAATCGGTCTTAGTTTTGAAGTTACCCACTAATTGCATCTCGACACTTTTTAACAAGTGCCAAATGTTTTCTATAAAATATCTAGTATCTTGTACCTATATATCATTCCTGCAGTATCAGCCCCTGCCATGGAATAACCAGGGACTAGATAGGTCCGCAAGTTCGAAAATTGCGAAACAGTTTTCTTCAAACTGGAAGTATCCAAGACCTCAATATCATAGAAATAAAAACCTTAGTATATACACTACTAATTTATGTTTCAATATCATTAATATCTTTACTACAAATGAAGTTATGAGCAATACTCGAAATCGCGTCACCTCACCTTCCGGCACCCTTAATTATTGAGAGAGTTTTTGAAAAATTTATTTTTCTTCAATGAAATCGATTATTCTTTGATATATATTATTACATAAATATGAAATTATTATAATTTCTAAATTTGTAATGTTTTTTTAGTATACTGATTCCATATATATATCACATCCTGGTATTGAAAAACAATTTAACAAAATAACAGATTCATTTTACTGGATAGCTTTATAATCCCAAACGCAAACTCTACAGTCACCACTGCAAGTTACGAAGCAATCCTCGCTTGGATGGTGGTGAACCTGGAAAACTGTGTTATTGTGAGCTCTCAAAGTGAAAATGCAGTTACCTGTTTTTGCCGACCAGCATTTAATTGTTTCGTCCTTTGACCCTGTGAACAGGAGAGAGCCGTCCCTGGAAAAGCAGACTGTGAGAACCAATTCGCTATGCCCTTCGAATTTGTGGACCATCTTTGGGAATGTCTGCAGTTTCCACATAGTAGAGGTCTGATCTTGAGCGGTAGTGGCAAGGTAATCGTCATCGAATGATAATTCTAAGCCTAGTAATATGGAATCGTGCGGTTTTATGATCATGGGGGCTTTGTCATCAAGTTGTGCGCTATAAAGTGCTACATTGCCCTTCATAAAGCCAACTGCGATGAAAGATCCATCATGGGAAAGGGCAAATGTGACCATGTACTCATCTTTGTTCTGGCAGAGCTGAGATTTCGTCTTAATGACAGTAAATGTCGATGTATCCCACATGCAAATCATTCCATCGTAACTTCCGGAATATAATTTCTTCGAATCTGGAGAAAATGCTAGCGATGAAACTGTATTTGTGTGGTTTTTAAGTGCACGCATTTCTGATTGTGGATTTGCTACACTAAAAACGTAAATATCATTATTTTTACCTGCAAGGGCGATATATTTCGAATCAGGCGAGAACACTAAAACACGAACATATTGTTCATTCTTTCCATCAACGATCGGAATTGATCCTGTACCAACAAGTGAACCATCTGAAGAGTTCATGATAAAAAGCGTTTTAGCATCAGCAAATGCGAACAAACGTCCATCTGAGCTATAATTAACAGCGCAAATGACAGTGTTCGACGAAAGACAATATCGGAGCGAAACATTATTATTCTTTTTAAATTCTTCTGGAGCGACAGACCAGTCCATAGTCACTTGCGATAGCGGATTTCCTTCATGCGGCTGTGAAATGTGTGGCTGTGGTTTTGGTTTAGTTTCAACAGGCAGTGTTGCTTCAGCTTGTGTCACCGTTGTATTTTGTTTTGTCACAAGAAAGGCGAGATTTTTCTTTATTTCCTTAAGCATTTCAATATCGTCTTTGTTTTGCTGAATGATGATTTTAGATTGGGAATTTAAGAGTTCAAGATCGAGAGTTTCTTCCTGAATTTTAACAATTGCTTTCTGAAGAGCATCGAGATTTTCAAGGACCATTTTAGGCGCATCATATTCAGTATACTGTTGTGCCATATTACAGTTGGATATCAATGCGCTCAAATTATAACCGCTCTGCTTTTTTTTTTCGATGTAAACTGTTTACAAAAATTCCATAAGGAAGAAACATTTTTCCCGAAAATCGTTCCGATCATGACCATAGACCCATGGGATATTGATTTTGGCATGAAGGAATTGAATTTCACTTCTGTAATTGATATGGTAGATAGCCCAAAACATATGAATATGATTTAACTAATCAAATAGTATATTATATAAATATGCTAACTTAATTAAGATAAATTGATTGTTATTAGGGTATTATACAATTTAAGTTAATGGCATAAAATTCATAGGCTATATAAACAACAGATTTCCAAATAAATAAGATAAATAGAATCAGTAGGCTCCAAATATGAATGATATGATCTTAGTTTGAAAAGTTACTAAAAGAATAAAAAGATTTGTGAATTACGTTTTAATTTCAATAATTTTTATCAATTAATTATCACGTTATGATTTACATATCAAATTTAATTTCAAATATAAGTAAATATCAATATTCATTATTTGTATTTCAAATTTAAGTATAATTGGAGCTTTTGAATAAAACCATAATATTCCCAGCTTACATGATTATAGTTTATTATGTAATATCCGGCATATCAGGGAAATAATAGATTTGAATTCTTACTTTTGAGGATTTGACTGAAAATAGTATAATGATAATCGATCACTACAGAATTATTTTATATTCAATAAATCATTTTGCGTAATTGGTGGTTCTTATCATCTATCAAATTTCGTAAGAAGTCTCTTAAAAATCTTGGAGTTCTTCAAGAAACGATCATGTTCAAGATACATGTCGAGATGCTTTAATAAAATTAATCATAAATCGAAGCAAAACATCACATTTGTTAATAATTTCAAGTAATATATAAAATTCAAGATTATAATGTCTACTGAATGCTAACAAAAACGAACAAAATCTCATCTCTCGACTAGAACATTAATATGATGCAGTTTTTTGTTTAGATCTAATATAAAAATGAATAAAAACTTTACTTTTACACTTTTCATTCAAGTATTTTACTAATATAGATCATGCTTTATCAATGCTTAGTACTATTCTTTTTAGAATAAAGGATAATAAGAAAGATATTTGTGATTTAAAATAATTTTTTAAAATTCACCTTTAACTCATCACTCTGTGAGATGTAAAAAGCATTCGCATTACTCATTCTGCTTAATTGATCAACTCAAAATTCCAAAAAAAATTCAAAAAATCAAAAATGAAAATCAAAAAGTTGATTTTTCTCTTGAAAAAATCAATTTTCAAAAAATTTTGGAAAATCAAAGTATTGTATAATTAATCAAATCATCAAATGGAATCGTTTTTACTCATAAAAAACATCTAATTTTTGATTTGGATATCATATTTATTAAAAACTCATTCTATAGTTGATGCAATGTCATGATTGCTGTTGAAAATATTATTTCCATAACAAAATTCTTATTTTAAGATAGTAAAATAATAAAGTTTTTATTTCAACAACAACAAGTAAATAGATGAATGGAAACGTACTACATTCGCATAAATGTAGTAACTATCATCTAGATTTGAGTTATGAATATTCCAATCAAAATGTATCAAGTTGAAATCAGAAATAACCAAAGATTATATGAGGTACTGTACACTAATTGTAGAGATCATTTTAATTCATAAGTAACTTATATAATAAAGCCGATTTTTTTTCTTATTGCAATAATTTCCTCAAATCTTAGTAACTTTTTCTATATTCAAGTAATTTGTATATGTATCATAAGCTGTGTAGAAAAACAAAATTACGAGAAATTCTGTTGTTGCAATTTGGAGATTTCTAATGTGTGGTTTTAGCATGTGTAATCCTGGTCTTATCTCAACACGAGGGTACTCCTGCAATATGATTTAAATTAACGGAGTTGAACTTAAATTGAATAATGCAGGAGAATAACTGACAATGCAACTAACTGTCTATTACAGAATAGTTGACAATTAGAGTAATAAACCATTCTGCACCAATCATCTCTTTCATTTCTGGAATGACGAGCTGAAAGGAAGCGATCAGTAACCCGAGGAAAAAGGAAGACGGGCGTCACTTTTCGTGCATGTACCTTTTTGACAAGCAGTTTATTTATAAAATATGATTAAATGCTCGAATAATGATCTTTTTTTTGAGGCGACTAATTGAATATATACGTTAATTTGAAAGCAAGAAAAGACGTTAAAATAAATCTAATTTAAAATCAGCATGGTTTTGAAACAAAATAGATTGTTTGATGAAATTAAATTCAAATTAATTCAGAGGTTCTCAAAAACTTTTTAGTTCATTTTTCCTACTGAAGAGTCTATCATGTGATCAGCATATTCGCATATGCGTAGATGGGATGTATGGAATTCAATCAGCGATCGAGGTTGCATTCCAATATTCTTCCTCCATCATTGATTCACATGACTCCTGAGAGGGAATCAGTCATTGCTATTTACTGTAGGAGAAAATATTAGTCGGCAATGACTGATTTAAATGCAGTTGCTTTCTTTTTCTTTTTTATTATATTCAACCAGGTCTTTCCAACAACAAGATTGGTGATCTGGCTGAATTGTAAACTGTACCCTCTCAGGAGGTTTTTACTCTATAAGCATTTTTTAACATTACAAATTTCTATCCTTATTTCAAGTGCCGACGAATCTTAGTATGGCCCATCTTTTAAGATGGAGAATGAGTTCTCATTCGCAGGATGAAGGTTCGATTTAGATTTTTCGTTTTTTTTTCTTTTAATTTTATTACAGTTTAATTTATGATATGCTTAATTCGCATTGCTCTCAGCCTAATTGCACAACTTTTAATATATTCTTATAAAGGAGAATGAATTGAGTGAATTAAGTTTTGAATTCTCAAATGTGATTAAATGAAGCAAATTTAATCAAATTTACTAGAATTTTGATATGTGCCTTAATTTAATCTAATCTGAGTCAAATTACTGGAATTGAAGACGAAAATTAAAATTCTAGTCAAATACGATTTTGGAGAATCGTCCCAAACCATGACATCTGCAGTTATTACAGATAAATACTCAACATCGAAGAAGTTATAGCAGATTTACGCAATTTTTTTTTCAACTAACTATCAGCAACTTGTGGAGTATTACAGTGATTGAAACTTATGTTACATATACCTCAGATATAATAATGCTAATATCACTTGTCAGAATTAAAAAATATTTCCTCTATATGCAGAAAAAGCATGTTTTTTACTAAAATTGTAAACTATTCAAACCTACCCCTTCAGAAAAATTGCCAATTCAATTTATAATGACATATTTAAAATTTTACTACATAGTCCCAATATTTCTTTTTGTTTTTCTTCAAGACCAATGCTTTTCGTTGCGTTTACGGTATGAAGCATATGATTGCAAGTACAGCAATCTTTCACAATTCTCAAATCCAGATAATTCGATTCCACCATATTTACCGTCAACAAAGGTAATAGATAATTATACAGCTGTGTATCCATTTAACATGAAAAGAATCTACCTTGGGATCGACATGTGTCACATTGCAATTTTCAATATTTATGATTTTCAGTCACTAGGCATTGAGAGAAAAATATACCAGCAATATTCAAGAGCGCATGTGAGTAGGTTCGGCATCCTTCTTCATGGGCGCTTAGTTTATCCAGCAAAATGTCACTTTAGAGTAATTGCCAAAGATGTGAAATTTCATACTTTGCAGAGTTACAAGAAGATTGTAGTTGGTTTTTCTTATCATATACAATTTGGTCACTATATTATGGATATGTTATGCGGTCTTATTTCCATACCTTCAGAGGTTTTATCTGATGCAGAAATTTTCATTAACTTCGATGAAGAAAGTGTATTGAAACAGCACATGGCAATATTTGGATTCAATCCGATTCATGTGCATTCACTACCTGACGGATGGGTATTTGGCCACGAAATCCATATCAATGTTGGATATCATGAGGCAATGTGTCTTCATCAGTCATGGAAACAATTGCACAATTTATTTTACGAAAAAATGAATCTTTCAGGCATCAAACCTATAAATCATGTGTTCCTTAATAAAGAAAAAGGAAAATGGAGTCATATAAGAAATCTTGATGAAATAATTGATGTGGCTAAACAGATGTATCCTGGATATAACTGGATAAATATTCCAATAGAAAAAACAAGAAATACATCTGAAATTGCTCGGATATTTGCTGAAACTAAGCTTCTTATATCCAGCGGAGGATCTCTTTCTTTTAATAATATCTTCATGCAACCTGCATGTGGACTTCTTATGTATTGTGGTTCATGTCCTGTTGATACAGGAACAGTTGCAACAGCTTGCGTATTAGATTTATGGTTTTTTGCTTCTCCGACACCAGAAATTGAGACATGGAAGATAAAGGATCCCGCACCTAGATATGATCCGAGCAAATTCAAGAGAGATCTTCCTTATATCGTTTATGCTGTATATAATCAGTCATGGCCTGCAGACATTGATAAAGTCGGAAAGATATTCTATCCAGGTGATTATAAAGAAGGGTTAAGAAAAATCTTACTTGATCATAACTTGAATTCAAGTACAATAGTTAGATATGATGAACTTGATACAAATAATTTCTTAATTGAAGTTTGAAAATACATCAAACTTAATTAAGTATCGCAGGAAATTCGGTTACAAATATTATTTAATGATCTAAACATTAGTTTACTACCAACTACTTTTATAGTTGATAGAATATGGTTGAAAGGCTCTAGTTCCACATGATTGTTGTATATAGTCAGAACGAGTGGATAATGAGGAGTAAAAATATACCATTAGATTCTTTATACATCCACCATGTAAGAAATTTAAATAATATCTGATTTCGAAATTTTCGAATTTAACTATATTATAGTTTGAAAGATGATATATGTTAAGTTTTCTATTTGATATATTACAAATAAAGATTTTTTGATAATTAATAATTTGAATTTTCTAATTATAGATTTTGAAGCATAATGATATCATAAATGAATAAACATGTGGTTAATTATAACATTTTTATATGATTGGATTAGCTTCTTACCTTGTGATTAAGTTATTGAAAGTAAATAAATGTCACTTTTATAATAATCAAGTTTAAGGGTGCCGGAAAGTGAGGTGACGCGATTTCGAGTATTGCTCATAACTTCATTTGTAGTAAAGATATTAATGATATTGAAACATAAATTAGTAGTGTATATACTAAGGTTTTTATTTCTATGATATTGAGGTCTTGGATACTTCCAGTTTGAAGAAAACTGTTTCGCAATTTTCGAACTTGCGGACCTATCTAGTCCCTGGTTATTCCATGGCAGGGGCTGATACTGCAGGAATGATATATAGGTACAAGATACTAGATATTTTATAGAAAACATTTGGCACTTGTTAAAAAGCGTCGAGATGCAATTAGTGGGTAACTTCAAAACTAAGACCGATTGCACTACAATCTCACTGGATTCTGCTAATTACCATTATGGAACAAACCCAATGGTAGTGGTTTCCAGTCGAAATTGTCTCATTCAAAGTTTAATTAGATTTGTATCTAGTCCTCCAATATTGTGTTTAAGCCAGTGAGATACATTAAACACAAAATTTCAATAGTTATACTAAAAGTTTTACAGAACAAAGTTTATTTTCAAGCCTCATATGTTGAGATAAATGCACTTTTTCCCTTCCGGATTTTAAAAATTTTGTATTATTTTTTTATGTTTTCGATAACCTTATAATCATAAACATCGTTTTCACTTAGTTTGAATATGATACTATGATATATCATCACTTAAGGTTTATACTGTAGTCTGTAAGTAAACTTCAGAATTTTTTTGACATCGATTTTTTTTTCTTGTTCGAGACCTATTTTGGTACCTTCGAACTTGACTTTTTTTCGAAAAAAATAAAACTTCATCGATTTAATCTGCAGACAAAAGGCAACTATTTCCTGCAAATTCGCTTATAGGATTTCCATTTTTTATATAAATTCGAATCTAAATTGTGCCGTTACATCAGGTACATATCAAATTCAATATGTTGCATGCCAGAGGTAGCTGCAGAGATTGAAGAAGTCATATGATTTTCAAGTTTTGTCCAACTTTGGGACTTTATTTCTTTAATTATTTTCCGTTATTACTTTAGTTTTTGAAAAATAATACTAAACGCAAATAAACGCATAACTTGAATTATATTTTACATATTACAATTAACTAATTTTTCAATTTTTATATAAAACTTATAAAATTCATAGTTAGACCCCTATTATATATATTACTATATATATTATCCACATATATGGTTGTGAGCTTAAAATGAATCTTATTTGTCATATTTGCAAATCATATTATCGTTATATTCTTCATCTAAAGAGGAAATATGGCTATTTTTAGTTATGAATGCATCTTTTTGTCCTTTAAAATATGCATGGTATAGCTAACTAATCTCAATTCTGTTTTGCAACAGATTTAATTAATTTTTATTCAGTTTTATATTTTTGATTGAAATATCGCAATTTAAGAATAACCCCGTATAAAAAATCGAATATCATTGAATTATGAAATAAAAAAAGGAAATTTAATTTAAGACCTTCAAAAAGTCATTTAATTGTGAAATCTTAGCCTTTAAAGGCACATATATCGATGAGCAATACTATTACAGGTACCGAAAAAACTCGATAGTATGATTATTTTTCCCTCAAATCCATGATCGTACTATCTAGTTTAATTTGAGTGTAAAAATAGAACCTACTAACTATGTAGATTCTAAAAAACTTCTAATGATGTCAAAAAAACTTATTTTCCACCTTGGACCCAAAATTCACTGAGATTTAATGAAGTCTGGGTGCTAACGTATGAAAAAATTGAGGGACTGTCACTTTTTCTACTACCGAGTATTCTGGCCACTAACGAATTTTTTAGGTACCTGTATTTTGAATACTGAGAAAAAGTACTTTACAGATTGAGACTGTCAAAAAAAAACGTTTTTTCATTTATTTCACTTTTTTTTTGAATGTTTGCCCCTCTAATTTCTGATACATTTTATTACGGCTCTTCAATCATTTCGGTGTTTCTTTTCTTTTCATTTTACCCAAGATCTATACTAGGTCTCTTTTATGAAATTTATCCCTGTCCATATTGTAATTTTACACTTGTTCGTCAACAAATACTCTTGCCATATATAGGAGGGGCAGAAATCATTGACAATTATTCATTAGTTGGTAATATGAATCTTACCTTAAGTTATTGCGATAACGAATTAACAAATATTGGTTTAGGCACAGAATTTCATTTTCCATCATATGGATTAGAGCATTTAGTTTATGAAAGATTCCAAAAAGCTCATATCTCCAACCAGGGTGTTCTTTTACATGGATATTTCTTCGATATTGAGAGATATCATGCATGGAGGAAAGATGGACTCAGAGAAGAGAAATATCATTCTTTGCAGTGTTTTGATAAAGTTGCAGTTGCATTCGGTTATCATATTCCATTTGGCCACTTCATATTTGACCAGCTCGCAGGATTTATTAACATACCTTCAGAACTTCTTGACGGAAGAACTATAATTGTAAAATTTAACGAATACGTTGCTAGAACTTACTTGAATGCTCTTGGATTAGGAAATCACAAAGTTGTCCAACTCACCGACGGCTGGATGTATGCTAATGACATAGTATTATGCGTTTCTGAATACGGAATGATTTGCACATTTAAATCAGTGAGAGAACTTCGGTCAATTCTAAGAAGAAATCTTAATTTAACACAAATTATTCCTGAAAAACACACTTTCATAACAAAGGAGAAAACTAAGTGGGGGAGAGTCAATAACATGAAAGAGTTATGTGAGTGGGCAAAGCAGAAATACAGTGAATATTCATGGGTATATTATGAACCTGATATCTGCCAAAACTTAACCGAAATCTCAAAGATAATGGCCGCAACAAAAATATATTTAACTTCGATTGGTTCTATTCTTTTCAATGACATTTTTATGAGTCCTGGAACTGGCATTTACTGCGTATCAGGCGACAGATCGCTCAATGAAAATCTTGGTCATGGTTTTATACTTGATGTATGGATGTACACTGTTGTTTCCAAAGAAATCAAACAATGGCAAGTTAGTGAAACAGCAGGTCTCAGCCTTGAGAAGTTTGAGAAAACTATTCCGTATATATTACATGCCGTTTATAAAGGAGGATGGCCAAATGATATTTTAACAACATCACGACAATATTATACAGATAATTTCATGCACCAAGCATATGAAAAGTTCCATGATAAAGGTAATTTAACTAATTTTAATGTTACGAGATTTTCTACTTTAGACATTAATAACTTTTGGGTAGAAGTTGATTGACGGGTAGAATCGACTTTTAGGCTAGGAAATATGAACTATCAAATATATATAAAGAAAAATTTAAACACATTCTTGCACTTTTTATACGTTCTCCAATTGTGCCACAAGTGAATCTTCGGGAATAACTTACTACAACTCAATATTTTAGATTTCAATGCTTGTAAATATCTTATATATCGAAAAAAGAATAAATTAAAATATACATTTATGTTGTTGATAAAATGCATAGAGTACCGAAATAAGTTGTAGACAGGGGATAAGTTGTAGACAGGGGATAAATTGTAGACAGAGGATTATAAACAACATAAAGTATCATAATACATGCCAAATTCGTGTTTTAGCAAAAAAGGTTCAATTTCATATGAAGAGTTGCAAAAAAATTCGTTAAATACTAATAAAACTAGTTTGTCGCATTAATTTAACTAAGGATAATTCTTTATTCATTTACAAATCCAGTCTATGTTGGAATAAAATTTAATAATTTAAAATTTTGTGCCTATGAAGGTATAATTTAATATTATTTTTGTAACGATTCACTAAATATACTTTTGTCCAAGTACTCCTTGCAGTTATTAACCAAAGAAAAATTTTCATTTGCATGAATGATCAGAGATGCACGAGTTTAAAACTTTGATCCATTAATAAACCTTGGATGCATATGCATCAGGAATGGAAAACCGGATGGAACGAGAGTTGCAATCTTCGTAAATTAAAGAACGAAACAAATAATTCTTAGCGATAAGCTTAACCGTCATTGCCAACAAAGTAATTGTGAGTCAGTGGTAATGGCACTGGTGGTGCACAAATGAAGACTTCGGCACAGATGAAAAATGAATAATTTTAAACGGCAATAAAAATATTAAACGGCTATTTTTAGAATTTCCGTAATTCCTTATTAAAACATATTGTTAATTACTAAAAAAGCATTTTTTCTCATTTTCATCGAGTAGGTAACAAAAGTGCACTATGTAAATTTTTGTAAACTGTCGAATTATTATTTTTGACAATGTAAACTTATATGAGATTCTTTCCAAGAGAAACTTGGGGCCCTAGTGTAATACACCAGGACTCGAGGACTCCGAGAAGGAATACTCCAAAGAATTTTAACAGATGCAACTATCAACAATTCTTTCTACTGATTATTTTTGAATCGGTAGAAGGGATTGTTGATAGTTGCATCTGGAAGTTGGAACAGAGGAGCTCCATAGCTCCCTTTCGTAGGATTGGGAGCTATGGAGCTCCTGAAGATGGAGATTGGCTGCTATCTTCTTCTGATCAGCAGAGGCCCAAATGGAAAAGGGCCTCTGCTGATAGGGCTTCGGGAGCTCCATGGCTGCCTTTTATAGGATTGGGAGCTATGGAGCTCCTGGAAAATCTTAAGGGAATAGCAGACCATTAAAAAATAAAATGTCTTTGTTACTCTCCCATTTTCATCAACTAATTAAAAATTCACATCTCAAATAGGATTTTGATATATTTATTATGCTACAATAGGTCTAGAGACTTAATTATTTATTCTACTTCAAAATATTATATCAAAATCAATATTTAATGTTAAGATTGCATTGAGATCACCCAAAATTGGAGAATATCTCAGAATATCTAATCAGTATGCTCTTGTCAATATAGACAACATATTCTCTCGTAAAAGTCCATATCCAAACCCTCTGTATAAAGAAGTCTACAGCTTTTTTCGTTGTCTACAACATATTTAGGGTACTCTAGGAGCATCATTCAATTCCTTTTTTTGTATGCATCTCATATATATAAAAAAAGAGTTTAAACTCTTTTTTTATATTAAAAATTAGAAGGGTATAGATAGATACCAGTCGCATCATGACATAAAGTTATATATAAGGTGATAAATTAATGTTTAATGAAAAATTGAACATAAAATGAAATAAGAATAAAACAATTAATAAGAACCGATTAAATCAGTTGATAATCTTCTCAGTTTGTTTCTCTGAGTCCTTGGAGAAGACGAGTCAATTCTGTTTTGGGGCTCGAAAATGCTTGGAAGGATCTTTTGTGATGAGATCGACATCAATTTCTTTCTGACAACTCTTCTGTTGTGGTTACTGTGGCCTTTAAAGATAACTTCATCTCTCTTAAGCCATTGTAAGGGCTTAAACGTCTTAAAATCCAGCTGTCTGCCCTTAATTATCAGAATAGCTGACCTATTTTCAACGCAGCCGCAGTAGTTTGATGCAGTGAAGACAGTGATTACTTTGTCATCAAAGTTCTTACAGATTCCCTCGGCTACACACTCATGAGCGCGAATTAACATTTTTAATTTTGCAGGTCCAAGGAATTCTTGTGTCGCTTCTGCTCCAAATAGATATCCACTACCTCTTACAGCCGATTTCTCGAAGAATCTTACATTGGAAGATGGGTCGCTCCATACAATACTCTCAAGAAAGTCGTCTGTAACTTCTTCTATTGGGCGCTGGATAGAACGGAACTGATAAATAGAATAGCAATGAGGTCCTATTCCTCCATGAACACAAAGTATATCGCCATTGATGAGCGCTGCAAAAGGAATATATGTAAAACACTGAATGAAGCAATCGAATATAGTAGGATCGTTGTAAACAGAGCTTATTTATGCACCGAAACCAAGGTTAGAGCATAGAGATCTGAATTCATGGTTTCCACGTATTATGAGAACTTGATCTGGCCAAATTACTTTCAAAAGTAAAACAATAATAATTGTCTCGATTGAAAATTCTCCGCGATCAACAATATCACCGAGAAAAAGATATTTTTGCTTGTCAGGCATTCCGCATGTATCTAAAACTCGTATTAAATCAAAAACTTGTCCGTGGAGATCACCAACTATCACTATATCAGAATTGGTCTCAAGCAATGAAGGCTCGTCTTTGAAAATGTTGGTTGCCGTTTGTGTCAATTCTTTGATAATTTCAGGCTCCATGATTGGAAAAGTTGTAGGTAAGATTTTACTAGCATGAAGCTCCACATAGCCAGTAATCTCACTTATAAACATCGAAAGTTGTTCTTGGTACATGGGCCTTTGAGTATCATGCATTTTAAGAGTGCACTAAAGCCTCTCAATTTTTCTATGAGTTCTCTCAAAATCAAAAATATACACGGAAAAGGTCTTTGATCAATATTTCAACACATAATGCATATCATCTAGTTGGATCAAAACTATATGTATCTAAATACTATTATATGATTTTAATCATATGGCTATAATGTTCAATCTTTCATATTCGAGTACTTTGGAATAAAAATGATTTTTTATAATTATTTTGACACACAAGCTTTAAGGTGCATTTACCACTTTGTGACATGCTTGCATAATATCAATATTGTTGAATGCTAAGTATAGTTATGGGAAAATCGAGGAAAACGTTGAAATTCAAGGAAAATCTGACACAAAAATTTTTTTCTTTCCGAAGTCTTTTTTCTTATTTTGCTCAGTCTGTGATTTGAAAAGATGTGTTATTATGCTAAAATGTGTTTTTACTAAGTTAGTGTGAAGATCTTGAAATCTCTGATTGCTAAAAATCTCAAAGCTGGAGGCTGAATGAGGTGCAGGGATATTCTTTACAATATATATGCTGTTCTGGCATTGCTTTTGTCCCTCCATCGTTGCTCTGTGAGTCTCTGTATTGGGACAAAATCTCAAATTTCAACAGTTTACGAAGTAACCAGCGAGAGTAATATCTCAGATCAGAGAAATACCATAATATATAGATATAATATCTTAAGTGAATTATAGTTGTCGTAGTTATTATACTGCTTTTAATGCTATGCATGAGCATTCTTTGATGCAGACAAGTCCATGGTTGACTTGAATTGCTGAATTCTACCACATACACCTTAATACATAAGTGTACATAGTATATGAATTACTATGTTTCAGTCTGGGATTGTAGATTCTCACTGTTACTTTTATTTTATATACCATAATATATACTATTGGTATAAGCAAAGTCCCCAAAAAACTTTTACTTCCCCTATTTTTGGGGGCGAATACACCTTTTTCCCGTACCTATAGCTCATATAATATCTTCAATTAAAATATTTCATATTATCAATTTGCTCGAGATCCTTCATATCGTTAAATTTCTTATTCTCTAGAGCCTCAATAAGTCTTTGAGCGCATTTTGCACATCTTTCTGCATCATATGGATTCTTCACCTCGCCATCATGAGGAATAACTCGATGGCCTACTTGGATATTCATAATTCCAAGCGCCGCAGTCATCTGCGCATTGCAGTTATCAATCAAGTTGCCACATAAAATCAGCATTCCTGTGAATTCATGCATAACAACTGCATTATAAAGGTGCGAACCACAAGGGGAAACCAAGCATTTAATGGTGCTATAAATCATTACATTATTTGTCAAATTTGTAAAGTCGTACTTTTCAACTACCCATTTTTCACCATCTGGAAGTTTTGTATGCAGTGTTAAGTTGTTCACTAGTTCATCCATATTCAGAATTCGTCTTTTATGTGATTCTTTATTTATAACGACAAATCTGGTAGGAATCTGGTTGTGGAGGTTAAACTTGTCGTAAAATTTGTGTCTCATCATGGGCAATCCTTTATTTGCATATCCAAAAGCCTCAATATAATGCGTGCAAATATATAATTTATCGCAAAGAACTTGTTCTGTATCAGCAAACTCCTTAAACTCTATTTTGTCTCCATAACCAAGAATACCTATCCAGCGGAGAACTATATCCATCGGCTGATTTAATTTTGGTGATAACACTTTGCCTTCTTCAAAAACTTCATCAGGAATGAACATCAAACCGCACATGAAGTCTAAAATAAAATGACCAAAGTTTTCGTATGGATTGAATATGATCAATCCAACATGACATGAGTCAACAGTTGTCTTAGGCTTAAAGGGATCATGAGGTTGGAATGGACCGCCATAAATTTGAATTGCATAATGGATATTTGCAGCTCCTGTTAAACCACGCCAATAGTAGAAAAAGGCATCATTGAAAAGCATGAATCCAACGTTAACTTTATCCAAAGTAGTGCATCCATAACAAACTCGATCAATAAATTCTCCATGGTGCCACATAACATTATTTTGAAGAAATGTTTTATTAAATGGAGTAGATTCGTTATACAAAAAAAAGTAATTCGCATTTGTGCACCATACATGCTTTGAAGCATTTGGATTTTGTAAAAATCTTGGTCGTATAGCCCCTGAGAATGCAATTCCTTCAGTGTAGGAAATGAAATACATAAACAAAGGTAACAGCGGGTAAAAGGATTTCTCAAACATATAAACATATAAACTATTGAAATTTTGAATAGTTTATATGAGTATGTGACAAAAGTGCATACTCTTAAATTAACCTTAAATGTTGATTTTTCGATATTTTCGGTATTAACCTTATTGTAAATTTTTCCGGTGATAAATTTATCACACTGAGGTTATTTTTCCGGTGAGATTTTTAACCTTGATTTAATGAAATTAATATATATAAATTTTATTATTTTTAATTTCGAATGAGTATAATAAAATATTTTTTATGTGTTTTTGTTTTTGATGTGATTTGAATTTTGTTAACTCTTTTCAAAATCACTTCATTTTTATGATTTCGGTGGACTTAGAGGAGCTTATTGCTTTTGGTATTAAACAGGAAGTCAAGGGCGGTGTCCCATACAGAAGAAGAACGGGATCTCCAAAGCAATATGTCACTTATTCATGTTCGTATCCCCTATGCAAGGCAAAATTTAGGGTTGAAGAACAAAATGGAGTGTTTACTATAAGAAAAGTTAATGAAGAACATTGCCATCATATAGGAGTTGAAATGGGTTCACATTACGCGAGTAAATTTTATCAAAAATGGATCGAACTTTATATTAAAAACGGTGGAAAGCAATTTCTTGCTCAAAAAGCATTTTTTGATAAGTTCGGAATTGATACGAATAACAAAGAAACGATGAAACTTTTCGCGCAGTCTACTGATGCTTTAAAGCACAAATTTTATCGCCTTGATGAGATTATTGCACAAAGATTATCAAACGATCCTTACACTTCTTTGGAAGCATTTTTGAATAATTTACAGGAAGAGTGCCCAGATGATCTCGTTCAATTTGATTACAATGGAGATTTTTCCGAGTTTACAATCATATATGCACCTTTTGCTGCAAAAGAATTGGTGCATAGCATTGATAACCCTCTCCACGTCGATTCCACTCATTCTTTAATTAAAGGAAAGATCCGATTGTTTGCAGTAACAATGAAAACAAGTCAAAACACAATTTTCCCCTTTTGCTATTTTTTAGTGAACCCTCAGACATCTGAAAAAATTCAAGAATGTTTGGTGAAATTCTGTGAGTTTGCGCACCTGGATCCACAGCATTGGAGCGCTGACTGTGCGCTAAACATTGCTCGCGCAATTGAGGACGGATTTCCTCTTGCGCAGCTCAGTTGGTGCGCTGTGCATGTTTTACGCGCATGTGCAAAAGTTGGAAGCTATTTTGACAATCCACAGAATTTTGAGAACTTCTATTTAGCAATGGACTTTTTGACATTACGTGCAGATGCAACGAATGCAGAAAAGCTGGCTGAAGAGTCTGATGAAACATATGAGTTCTTGACAATAATGTTAGAAGAAGAAGAACCGCGCGCTTTGAAGTATTTCGATAAACAATGGAGAAGAACCAAAGAACATTGGATGATGTTATATCGTGGAGAAGGTGATTCCACGAATAACATTGCGGAATCACACTTTCATCAATTAAAGCAAACATTTTTCTTGGGTAAGAAAAATGAGCGCATTGATGACATAGTTAGTATACAATTGTTGGGTATGGTGGCACTGCGTTCCTCCGTACGCAATACTTGTGAATTTGACACTTTACAAAACCGTTAACATATATTTTACAACACAAACGACAACACAAACACAAACACTAACTTAACCTTAAATATTTACAAAGCCGCCACCCACTTCACTTCACTAACGAACTCACTAATGTAAAAATAAACGTTCTCACTATCGTTCTCACTAACGACTTCACTAATGTTCTCATAAATTTTCCTCAATATCTTCATCATCAGTGTTAACCCTATTGTAGTCATACTTGAAGCCATAAACTTTCTCTAACTTCTTAACGTACAATTTACATAACTTACCTTCGTCATCGTATGGTTTAATGATATAACTATTTCTATCTTTATAAACAGTCAATGAAAAGTCAACTGGTCTCGGATGTATTTGAAAGAACATGTTATGCTCAGGAAGGAAGAATAAATGTTTAAATGTATGTTTGTTATACTGTGGAATTCGAATGAGTTGCTTTTGTTCTGTCATTACATCCAAATAAAAATTTTCAGTAAACTTAAAAATAAACTTAAAAATTAATGATATCACCACCCTCACACGTATGAAAACATAGCACAAAAATAAATTTAGGTGAAGTGGTGAAATCTCACCTCTTTTTTCACCTGTTTTTTCACCCACTTGAATTCATTGCTTTATAACTCTCTTCCTTTCTCCAACTCTTCTAACTTCTTCTTAAGTTCAGCAATGTTGTCCTCATGAAGTTTAATCTTCCTTAATATACCTTCTCTATCTAATGGTTGCTTTATCTTTCTAAACTGAACTCTACCATCCTTCATAGTATGAACGTAAAAACCTTCTGGAACCGCTCCTGATTTAATGTATTCTACCAAAAATTTTTGTTTCATTGCTTCAGTGACTTTAGTCGTCATTTCAATCAAATAAAAATTTTAATATTAAATAAAACTAACATTATTTTTTCAGTAAGGAAACGCAGGAGTTTTACGATTTATTTGAGGAGTAGGTTCTGGTTTAAATGTTGGAGTCGGTTTTGGAGTTGACTTTTGAACAGGAGTTTGTACTTTCATAGGTTCAGGAGTCATTGAAGGTGTTGTTTGTGAAGGCGTTGGTTTTGACGTTGGTTTTGGCGATGGTGTCGGAGTTTGTTCAAATTCAGCTACTTCAGTATTATTTATAACATTTGCTTTATTTCTTTTCAACATCATAACTGCTCCTGCTGTAGCTAGCAAACCTAGTGGGAGACCATATTTTATATAAGGACTTGACCAAATGCTATTTTTGACAGGAGCTGGTGGAACACCTAACCTTGGTGAGACTGCTCTTTGCCATTGTGCAGCTCGTAAGAAATATTCAATAGGTGCTCCATAATCGTTTGGTAAAGTTTGTTTCACAGATGGTGAAGGTTCACGAGAGCTTGATGAAGAACTCATTTATAAGCTTTAAAAATAAACGTTCATCCTTTATTCCTCACTGTCGTCCGTAGCTAAGTTATAGTCATCTAATCTTATTATTGGTATGCCTGACTGTCTTACTTGTATTGCAAAGCAACAATCCCTCATAAATCCAATAAGTGGCTTTGGTACGTTTTCAGTTGCTAGTTCAATAGGTCCTTTAACAGACAATTTGTATGTTATTGGAGCAGTAGATGTTTGACCTTGCTGGAAGCAAAAGTCCACTTCTGTTGGAAAACCACATAAGAAATGTGTGTTGTCATAGCTATCCCATTTATGTTCCACACTACCATCATCCACCAATGACCTCATAACATCTTCATTAAATCCAATCATATCATTGTTTGTATTGCAAGCGTTCGCAACCATTTCATAAAATACAGGTCCATATGATTTTTCAGGTTCTGCAGGCATATTTCCATAAGCTCCCATGGAAAGCTGAAGATATTTAAACTTAGGGTTCTCAAAATTAACATAATAGTTGTCTTTCTTTCTAAATAGTGCCCAAATACTTTTAACATTAATAGGCGTATAAGCTGCTGTAAATGTTGCACTTGAACTATCTGTATTCTTTGAGAATGAACCGTCCATAGGAATCCAATCCATAACTTTAACAGGAAAACATAAAGCCTCGTTTGTATAATGTTCTACAAGTTCTGTATAAATGTTAGGGTCTAAAGAGAATGACTTTGGATGAATGAAACATTCATTAAAATCCATCTTTGTTCGAAATAGTTGCTGGGTTACAGTTGTAATAGTAACTGTTCCACTAGCTTCTACTGCCTTCGTTATCATAGTGAATGGTTCATTCCATGGAACAAATTTATTTGTCGGTGGATTTGAATCTGAAGCAAATGCAACTTTAAGAGTTGGATTGAAAGCAATGATATCATTTACAGATATAGATGTGCATTGTAAGGCGTCGCTACTGAACTTTACTTTAAGCTGAATGTTTCCTGCAAAAGCTGGAATAAATCGAATAGCTTCTAATGGAAGGAATCTTCTAACAGGAATTCTTAAACGAAGCTTAAAATCAAATGATTTTCCTGCTGTAATTGGACCACTAACAATTTGTCCTGTTCTGCATGTTCCCGAATGACTCCATACATCTTCATGTCGAGTCTTTGAGAAAACATCTACTTTCTTTATTTGTTCGGTAGTTTGTGAGTTTGAAGTTATATATGCTTCTTCTCTTGCGTTGTCTTGAGAATATACGATACGACCATTTGCAAGGATTTGATATCCAGCAACTGCATAGAAAGCGTCATCGAAACCAATCCAAAATCCTGGTGGGTTTGTTTTATTGGAACCTGAACCAATTTCTTTATCTACAATAAATTGACCTTCCATTTTATACGTAATGAATGTATTGTAAAGGTCCAACATATTTTCACCAGGAGGTGAGAGATTGAATGTTACCCATGTGTTATCTTTAGCAGTTCCAGGTTGTGATGGAATCTTTGCGTCAGAATATTTTCTATTAGTGTCACCAATTTGAACTGCATTGTCTATGATATCGAAATATGAGCGAATCTGATGAATATGCTCTGCTGGAGTAAATTCGTTTAGCTGTTCGTTCTGCATGTATTTACTTCAGATAAAAATATCTATTTACTTCATTATTCTCACTCTTCTTCTTGGCATTCGTGGTGGAAGTTGTTTCTTGACATTTTCAATGAACTGTACATTCTCTTTTGTCTCAACTTCTTTCACTGGCGGGTCAGGGTTCTTTGACTCGGTTTGCTTTTCAATGAAATTCACGAACTTTGCAATAAGCTCTTGGTTCGTTATTGAAAGTACATCTGGCTTCTTTTCTTCTTGTTCTATTGACTCAGTTTGAACAGAAGGTTTTATATGGGCTTCGTGGACTTCACCCTTGCCATGCACCTTAATGTTGTCGCTCTCTGCATTCGCTAATGGAACCTTTCTTTTTCTTACGTATATTTTACCATCTTTACTCTGACTTACATAATAGAAAGGATGTTGTATTCCTCTTGCGTCATTTAATATAATAGACTCTCGCTCTGATTTTGACAAGCTCATTTTACATCGGTTAAAGTTTTAATTTAGTTTTTTATCTGCAGTCAAATGACTCAGACAAGCCCTACGGACAAGACCCAAGGTGTCATAGATGTTGAAGCATTGAAGAAAGAAATTCGCGTGAGCAAATTTTATCCGAACTGAAGGAACAAAAACAAGAACAAAAGCCAGAGAGACCAAAGAGAAAACTTAGTGAAAAACAACTTGCTGCATTAGCTGCTGGAAGACAAAAGAACCCACGTTTGCTGGCGAAGAAAGCTAGAAGAAGAAGCTGAAGCAAAAGCTAAAGAAGCTGAAGCAAAGAAAGAGTAAATGGTTTATTTTTATCCGAAACTAAATGTATAGACAAATACCTTTATCTGTTGCGTTCAGTAGTGAAAACCCTGACGTCAAAATAAAGGGGAACAGAGTAACGTTTAAGTTTCCAACAGACTGGATTGTGAACATAAATGAAGAGAAGTACATTGGCATAACATCTATGTATATAACACGTGCTTTCAGAAAGGTTGACTTTATACTTCAAGTCGAGATAGAAAATGACGAACAGTCTTTAAGCGCCCAAAACATTCACATATACAAATACTTTAAAGACGATACAACATTGTTGCAATGTATGATTTCATTTAATGAGATGTTCGAGAAAAAGTTCAACATTGAAGTACAAACTTTACAGCCTTTACGTGAGTTTCTTGCACAACTGAAAGAAGAAGGTAGTCAGCCACAACTTATAGACTTTCATTATGAATTTAATGAAAATGAAGATGGAACTCATGACTGTCAATTCATTGTATTCTCACCATTCAATGAAGTCGCTAAAAGAAAGAAAATCCATTACGTATAAGATTTCAAATCTCCGAACCAAGTGATGATTTTAAGAATGTTTTCAATTATGATGCAATGCTTCCGAGGAAAAATGAATTTTCAAAGATTGTAACACCTGGCATTTGGGATAGAAAGCAAGCAATACTTTACTCTAATATAGCCAAAGGCGTTGAAAATGAGTTCATTGGTCATACAAGAACTTCACCACTTCCTAACCCTAAATACTATAAATTAACTGGCTTCAATCGTGAGTTTTGGATAGACATGTTCTCCACTCATGACCATAAATGTCCAGTGTTCTTGCCTCCAGATGGGAAGGACTGTCTCTACATTGAAGCACAACTCTTAAACTCTACCATCGCAGTATTGTAAAATCTACGCTAGCTTTATTTTTATCACGAATGACCTCATTGCTGACAAAAATAAGCCGCTAGCGGCAAGGGCGAAGCCCATGACCTCAGAACTTCAACTTACGAATAAAGCTTGTTTTAGTCGTTATTGAAAAGTTGAACTTTTCAGCAAAGCAAGGTTGACATGACTTACATAAGTCGAATGCAATCTCTTGACCGTCATAAAGTGCTTTGTAAAGTTTCATTAAACTGAACTCAGAGTCTTTGTCATATGTTCCAACAGGTATGTGAATGTTCTTATCTTCATTGTAATAGCATTGTATAGCTTCAGGAAACATTTCATTAGCGGTTAAAGCAATAACATCTTGCTTCACGCCTTTCATTCTGCAGTGAAATGCAACTTCATTTAAAATTACTGACAACATGACATTTTGACAACAACATAGGTTCTTCGTTAATGCTTCATGAATGCCTTCCTCATTAATGTTTTCAGGTTCTTCAATAATTAATTATTTTTAAAGAACTGGAGGTGCTACCATGCTACCATGTGCTACCAGGTAATTCAACTTCTCTGAAAAAGTGTGACAACATGACATTTTGACAACAACACAGGAGGAAGGTAGTTATGAATTATTTTTAAAGAACTGGAGGTGCTACCATGCTACCATGTGCTACCAGGTAATTCAACTTCTCTGAAAAAGTGTGACAACATGACATTTTGACAACAGTTCAGGAAAATATGATGCAGTCCAAAAATAAAGTTAGTTTTAAAATTATTTTTAAAGAACTGGAGGTGCTACCATGCTACCATGTGCTACCAGGTAATTCAACTTCTCTGAAAAAGTGTGACAACATGACATTTTGACAACAACATAGGAGGAAGGTAGTTATGAATTATTTTTAAAGAACTGAAGGTGCTACCATGCTACCATGTGCTACCAGGTAATTCAACTTCTCTGAAAAAGTGTGACAACATGACATTTTGACAACAACATAGGAGGAAGGTAGTTATGAATTATTTTTAAAGAACTGAAGGTGCTACCATGCTACCATGTGCTACCAGGTAATTCAACTTCTCTGAAAAAGTGTGACAACATGACATTTTGACAACAACACAGGAGGAAGGTAGTTATGAATTGTTTTTATTTTTTATTCCTATATAAATGACAGCAACAAACAACAGCAACAACTATATCGTTTCTGATGAAAAAGTTATTGATTCATTAGCTGAGGAATTAGTTGTGGCAGAAACTAAAACCCTCAACGAAAGAATTGGTGAAAACAAGATTGATTTACATAACTACCTCAAACATGATGGAGGAAGAGGAAGGAAAACTGGTATGGCTTTATTAGTAAATAAAATTTCAAATTTAACGATTATAGATGTTGATATCAATAAATCGTACAATGATGAACTTAAAGAAACAGTTAGAAAAGACATTTTATCAAAACTTTCGGATAAAGATGTTATCGTTAAAACCGCTTCAGGAGGTCTTCACATTTATTGCAACACTAATTTCTTCTATGCAGTTTCGAACAGAATGATTAAATGTTATTCCTGCAATGATTATGATATTGATATCATGACTTCTATGGATGATTCAAAGCGTTCTTTAGTGGTTATGGCTGATTCAAGAGTTCGCAAGAATGCAACAGAACCAATCAATACATACTCATTCATTCGTGGAAGTTATGATTCAACATTAACTAGAACAGTGAATGATATATTAAATGATTTGAATATTAAGGTAAGAGTTGAACAGAAGAATGAAGAAATAAAGACTATCATGAATGAAAACAAAGATGTAAACATTGACGATAAACTAGCTCAGAGCATAGTTGATGGCATCTGTGATTTTGAAGTACATAATGACGGTGGAAACATGAATTTAGAAAAAGAATAACATTATTCACACTGTTTCAAGCTATTAATTCGTTACCGGATCATTTAATTAATGAAGCATACGATAACGTTTATAACTTCTGCAGTTTAACAGAAAATGCAAAAAGTAATTTTGAAAAAGCACGTAGTAGATATGCACATTTAATGACTTCTCCATTTGTTTTAGTGAAGATTCTAAAACTATATCAAAAGGAATATTATGATGAATATGTTTTACCTTTATTACGTAAGCCAAAAATAACTATTTGATATCAAACTTGATGACTCGTTTTTGATAACAGATATTAGACGCAAGGCTGAAAATCATCAGTATAAAAACAGTTCTGAAGTAATTGAGGATTTATCACGTGTAATCCGTTTTGTAGATTGTGGAAATAAATATTTTCATTCAAAAGGACTATAATATCCACGACAAAATGAATCAAATATCATTTGTTCTTCAGTCAAACATGAAAGAGTCACTCAAAATGATTAAATTATTTAAAGAAGAAGGTAAAACCATAACAGCATGGGATGTACTACTAAATCAATTGTCTTCATTAACCGTTAAGGTGTTTGCTTTAAATCTGATTCCCCCGATGTTTTCTCAACGTTTCAAGGTTATAAATACAAACGTTCTCGAAAAACCAGATTACTCAAAAATTGAGATGTTTATGAATTTCATTAAAGAAAGCCATTTGTGATAATAACGATGAAGTGTATAAATACCTTCTCGGCTGGATTGCATCAAATGATTCAACATCCTGGAATCAAGAATGAAACAGCAATTATTTTGAAAGGACTTCAGGGAACAGGTAAAAACAGATTTACAGACATTATTTCTGAACTTCTCGCTGGTTATTCATGTAAAAACATTACCGAAATAAGTGAGCTAACGGGTAATTTCAATTCAGTAGTTGAAAATAAAATGTTTCTTGTACTTAATGAACTCAAGAATGTGGGTGAAGACAGACTCGCAAACTTCAACGCTTTGAAATCAATTATTACGGATAATGAGATAAGAATTAATGAAAAGAATCAAACCAGAAGACAGCTCAGAACGTTGCAAACTTCATTTTCGTAACTAACAACGTCTACCCTGTCAAAATTGAAGTTGGAGACAGAAGATACGTAGTTTTAAGAGTTAATGGTAAATTCAAGGGTCAATTTGATTACTTCAAGAATTTAATGGATTCATGCACTAAGGAATTTTATGATAATTTACTGACGTATTTTATGCAATATGACCTTTCATCATTTAATGTACGAATCATACCGATGACTGAAGCCAAACAAGATTTAATTGAATTATCATCAAATCCTTTAGATGTATGGATAAATACACATTATGATGAATTGTGTGCAGGTATGACGTGTGAAAATGCTCTATTCTGCAAACCATCAGACATGAAAGACAAAAACTTTCAAATGAGTATTAAGGATAAATGTGATAGGAAACATAGAAGAATAGACGGTAAACAAACATGGTATTATGTTTTGAAAGAAGAAATGAAAGGATTATATAAACAGGTTGAACCAAACGATAATGAGGAATCATTTACTGATGATGAAATACCTGTAAATGAGCCGCTAAGCGGCGAGACCTGAAGGTCTAGCTTTATAAAGTATGATTGGAATTTATTTTTGCATTAATCCTGCTGTGTTGTCAAAATGTCATGTTGTCACACTTTTTCAGAGAAGTTGAATTACCTGGTAGCACATGGTAACATGGTAGCACCTTCAGTTATTCAATAATAATTCATAACTACCTTCCTCCTGAACTGTTGTCAAAATGTCATGTTGTCAACATGGTAACATGGTAGCACCTTCAGTTATTCAATAATAATTCATAACTACCTTCCTCCTATGTTGTTGTCAAAATGTCATGTTGTCACACTTTTTCAGAGAAGTTAAATGACCTGGTAGCACATGGTAGCATGGTAGCACCTTCAGTTCTTCAATAATAATTCATAACTACCTTCCTCCTGAACTGTTGTCAAAATGTCATGTTGTCAACATGGTAACATGGTAGCACCTTCAGTTATTCAATAATAATTCATAACTACCTTCCTCCTGAACTGTTGTCAAAATGTCATGTTGTCACACTTTTTCAGAGAAGTTAAATGACCTGGTAGCACATGGTAGCATGGTAGCACCTTCAGTTCTTCAATAATAATTCATAACTACCTTCCTCCTGAACTGTTGTCAAAATGTCATGTTGTCAACATGGTAACATGGTAGCACCTTCAGTTATTCAATAATAATTCATAACTACCTTCCTCCTGAACTGTTGTCAAAATGTCATGTTGTCACACTTTTTCAGAGAAGTTAAATGACCTGGTAGCACATGGTAACATGGTAGCACCTTCAGTTATTCAATAATAATTCATAACTACCTTCCTCCTGAACTGTTGTCAAAATGTCATGTTGTCAACATGGTAACATGGTAGCACCTTCAGTTATTCAATAATTAATTATTTTTGAATAACTGGGAAATAAATTTACGTCAAATATGCAATTTATAAAATCTTATGTCGACAGGCTACGTAGCACAGTGGTCTAAGGTGGTGTTATGGAGGGGTCAAGGTCTGTGGTTCGAACCGCGACAGCGCCGTATTTTCTTATTTTCTTTATTTGTCTTGTTTGTCGTGAATAAAAAGTATCATAAAAGTGCTCTATCTTCCACGGGAATAAATAAAAAATTTACTTTATTTCTTCTTTATTTCTTCTTTATTTCTTTGTTCCCGTGGAAGAAGGGTTTTTGCCGTTTTTTCTCAGCCGAAATCAATGATTTTTTCATTTTTGGAATCCTTAGCGAATGAGGAATCTTTTCTCTCGTGGAAGCTTTGACCAAAAATATAATTTAGGTGAAGAGGTGACATCTCACCCGTTTTCTCACCTGTTTTCTCACCCTAGTTATTTTATAAACGTTTCACATGAATTTTCATGAATTTTCCCGAAATAAAAAATAAAATTAGTTTTATTTTTATTTATTTTTTTATTTTGTATGTAAAGACAATAATGTCAGTCGAAGCAAAAACATTCACGAACAAATCTAATGGTGAAACATTCACAAAAGGCACTTATAACGGTATTGAAGTCTTACGTAGAGACAAGGATGGTTACATTAATGCAACAAAGATGGCAAGAGAAGCGGGAAGGTTAAACCATTTAAACAGATTTCTCAATAGTACTAAAATGCAGGAAATTCTTGAGTTTTGGATGAACGAATACGGTGGAGCCAAAAGTGGCTCGACCTCAAAACAAGCATTTTATGAGCTTACTAAGGGCGTTATGAATGAATTCAAAGGTATTTACATACATGCTGACCTCGTTCATTTTGTTGCTGAATGGTGCTCTGTAAAGTATGCATTTTATGTCAAAGATATTATGGACTCCATAGACAAGAAAGTTCATGAGAAGTTAGATGAAGAAGAACTCGAAGATACAGTGGAGAATGCTAAACCTTTGTTCGAAGAAGAAGTTGGAAAAATGTGTGAAAAACAATTAGAACATGAACGTGAGATATATTATGGTTATAGAGATTCTCCATACGAACTAGACCAATGGGAACAAGAAGATTTAAAGAGAGAATTTAGAGAATATGAACTCGCTAAGATAGCATTTGAAGCTGCAGAAAAGAAGTTAAAAGTTTGGGGTCGTTTTGTACAAAAATATTGTGAGTAAATGAACCATTTATTTTTATTGAATTCACCAAAAAATAAATTTAGGTGAAGAGGTGACATCTCACCCGTTTTTTCACCTGTTTTCTCACCTCTTTTTTCACAAGCGTTTCACATGAATTGTACGATGTATATTTGAAATTCTAAACAATTTCGTAGCTTCTATTTCTTCGCTGAGGATATCAAAAGTTTTAACAATGCCGAAAGTCTCTTTATATTTCTTCTTGACGTCAGATAGAAGGAAATCGTCAGCAGTTGGATAATTTTTGTTCAGAAATGCTAACATGTTCATTTTATCTTCTGCTGGTTTCTCTACTTCTTTCTTTAAGTCTGCATAGTCGTTTCGCATTCTTTCTATCTCTTTGACGGAGTAGTTATATTTCCTCATTGCTGCTTTACATTTTGAACATTGTGGGTTCATTTTTGCGTTATATTCTGAAACCTTACCTGCTAGAACAACTAAAGCGTCAATGGTTTTCTTCATCTCAAACATAGCGGGTCTTATCTGTTCATTCCATACCTTACCTCTTCTATCTTTATCTCTTATTTCCCAAACACATTTTGCAACTAATGAAACAAAGTTATCGTAAGTCTTAAACTCCTCAGATTTATATATGTCAGAAATGTTTTTATATACCATGTCGCAATCTTTGTCCATAACTTTATGGTTGCAATGAAAACCAAGGAATTCATAATTTACTTTACGTATGAACTTCTTTATTTCTACTGAATCAGTAACTTTAACTTCAATTTCGTCGAATTCAGGAATAGTTAGTTTTTGTTGTTGGATTTCAGGCAATTTGGGTAAATGGTCAATAATGTCCTGCATTTCATAAAGATACTGTTCATTTGTTTCATCTTTCGCACTACAGTCTAAATTACTTGTTAAAAGTTCCTGCTTAATTTTTTGTATTTCTGTTTCGAAAGTAAATGAAGAAGGAATGAAGCTTTCCATCTCTACTAACATAGATGTTGGATTCATGACTAACGAGTTTGGTGAAGTTGTTGTGGACAGAGCCCCACCGTTCGCGGCTTGAATTGTTGTTGTGCCGATTGTTGAAATCATATCTTTACATACAAAATAAAAAAATAAAAAAAATAAAACTAACATTATTTTTTATTTCATGACAAATTCATGAGGTGAAAAATTAGGTGAGAAAACAGGTGAGATGTCACCACTTCACCTAAACATGGGCTTCGCCCTTGCCGCTAGCGGCTTATTTTTGGGTCATTTACGCTCATTACGAAGAAGAAGTTTCGACAAAGCATTTACGATGAAATCATGACAAAACATATACGTTCATGTTTGACAAACATTTACGAAGAAGTCTTGACAAAACATTTACGATGAAATCATGACAAAACATTAATATATAAAATTCATGAAAATTCAAGAGGGTGAGAAAAGAGGTGAAAAAACAGGTGAGATGTCACCTCTTCACCTAAACATGGGCTTCGCCCTTGCCGCTAGCGGCTTATTTTTTGGTGTAAATTTATGACAAAAATAAATGGTACCATTAATGATACATGACTGTTCTCATTCATGTCTGATTTACATCCAACGAAAAAGTTTAGAAGAATTTTCTTATTCTTTCTGGCATGTTTTTATCTTTCCAGTACTCCCGCTCTAATGGTCCCAGATGAGTTGGTTTAGATTCTCTCAAGTTCTTAGATGGTATAACATCTTCAACGCCTCCTTCATATCTTACTTTATAAGTGTCATCGTTTGTGTTGTAGTCAAGTATTTCAATAACCACTCCTCGCTTTGCTTCGTCAATGGTTTCAGCAAGTTTGCCATTACTACTTTCAACTAATTTATGACGAGGGTAAAATGCTATGGAGTCGTCAGCAGCTTTTATAAGATATCCATTACCTTGCGTAGAGTCTACGATATAATAATTTCGACTTAACCTTAAACGTTTCTTTGTCAACGGTTTGTCGTCAAGAACTACACGAACTTTTGTTCCAGGAATGAGGGTAAATTGTTTTGAATTTCTGATATTTTGTGTTTGGCTTCGTTTCTTTTGTATATACTTTTCTTCTTGTTGTTGTGTCATTGAATTTGGTGTATGTCCTGTTGTAGAATGTGTTGAGGAATTATATACTTCGAGAAAATGTTTCATTGTTTCTTCGGTAAAGTCTCGCTCTTGATTTAAATCTCTGAGCGTTCTTATGAAGCGGTTTATGATGCCGAGTATGTTATGGTTATGGTCTTCAGTAGTGTAGTGAGTTATGTTATGCTTAATGAGAAATTCTGTGATTTCATTGCTGAGGTATGCACCGTCTTGGTCTGATGTTAAAGTACTTGGGTTATGTTCTGCTACAAACTTTTGTAAAACTCTTAACACTTCACGAGTTCCTTTATTTCTCATTATATACGCAAAAGCTTTGCGAGTGTTAACATTAATGAAGATGAGGAATGGTTTATGTCCTCCTTTTCTGCTTTGAATGAGAGTGTCAAATTGGTATGCGTCAGGAGTGTTGGAGTAAATTGGTAAAAAGTAGTCGTAAGGGTTTATTTTTGTTTGATGTACAACATTTTTGTCAAAGAACCTTTTCACTTCAGCTCTGTTAGTAAATCCCGAACTCTTTGCAGCTTCATTGAACTTCTTAAATGACCTCCATGGATGTTGTTCGAATACTTCTTTCAAGCTCATTTATGTAAAGTTAAAGATTTTAACCAACTCGTATCCAAGCGTGCATTGTTATATAAGGAGGCATATAATCTTTTCCATTACCTGCTGGGTCTGTAATACCAGCTACAACATGTGTATGATTTCCTGCAGTTCCACAGAAAATACCTGTGCTAACATCTTTGGGGTCATCTGAGATATCATATCTATTCATTCCCTGTCTATTCGAACCCGCTGCAAGATTTGTATAACCTCTTTTTGTCATTGAATGTGAATGGTTTCCTTCCACAGATGTTCTTCCACTGAACCTATGCATATGTGAAGGAAGGTTTTCAATACCTATTTTCTTTGAACCTCCCATCTTCATTGACTGCGTATTAGTGTAGAATGGAAAACTGTCAACTATTTCATACCATCTACCACCAAATAAAGTGTTTGGATTTATTGGATTCATAGACGTATAAACAGCTCCTATAGGATATATTAAATCATATATGCTCATAGCTCTATAAACATATTCTAAAGAACTTATGTCATTAAATACCATTTGGAATGTATCTCCCGGATGAAATGTTGCATTTGTTCCACTTTTATAATGTAATGTTAGTTCAATAGAATTATCCAAGAAAAATTCAAAAGTATCTGGTTGAAGACCTCTAACAAATTCAAATGGAGTTGCTGGTTCACCATTTATAATTTCTGTTGTAAATGTCATTGTATCTGGTTTCGAAAATTTCTTTGATAGTTCTGCATCCACATAAGTTTTGTCTGCTTTCTTATCTAACATTGCTGGTAGTTCATGTGCTTCAAAGTTTCTGGCATGATCTTCGATATTCCTGCAACTCTTATCTAAATTGTTAAGAGTATCTTTTACGCTTGTACTTGGATTTTCTAATGGTGCACTTGAACCCAAATCAAAGTTCAAGATAATGTCATCAGCTCTAACAGTAGTGAAGGATTTATGTGTATGGTTCTTGTCAGCTTTCTTGTCATATAAATCTTGAGCAGTGAATTTAATATTATGTTCATCCTTCATGACATAAACATCTTTACATCTAATGTTTCTCATCGTCATTATGTCGTCATCCGATGTTAAACCTTGTGGAAAGTTAGGAGGTTTCCAATATAATGCATCCCCACCAGTTCCTTCAACCGTTCCTTCAATACTTTCTATACCAACAGTTGTGAAGAAATCATGTGTATGGTTCTTATCTGCTTTCTTATCTAACATTGCTGGTAGTTCATGTGCTTCAAAGTTTCTGACATGACCTTCGATATTCATACATTTGTTATTTAAGGAGTTTAGTGTATCTTTTACGCTTGTACTTGGATTCTCTAAAGGTGCACTTGAACCAAGGTCAAAGTTCAATATTATGTCGTCTGCTCTAACAGTAGTGAAGGATTTATGTGTATGATTTTTGTCAGCTTTACTGTCTAATGTAGCTTGAAGTTCATTTATATCGGAGATGTTGTGTTTATGAGATTTCAAAACTTTGTTCGTTGCTTCGAGTTCAACTTTGTCAGCTTTACTTTTAATAGCATCTTCAAACGTTATTTTTGACTTAACTCTTAACATAAATCTTGGTTCAACTAATACACCGTTAACATTGAAAGTAGAGGCATAAATTTCACCGGTATAACCAAATGCTTCTGGTGCTTTACCTGTGTCATACTGTACAGTACAGCTTATGTCATAACCTTTAGCACGAATGTATTTATATCTTCTTTCATTAACATTTTTTGTCTTCGCTTCATCACTTCGTGTTAAATATCCATGGTAGTCCGTTATAATCTGTTCGTCTGAAGTTATATAATGAACGTGGTTTTTATCTGCTTTTTCGGCTAATTTCTCATTAACATCATTCACTTCTAATTCAACTCTTCCGCCAGAACTCTTATTATCATTAATCTTTTTCATTAATTCGGTAATTACGTCATAAAGACTATATTCTGTTTTCGGTTTTGTAAATAATGAGTCAAAATTTCTTTTCATCATTACATCGCTGACATTAATGATATCACCAATTCCTTTTTCATTTATTCTCTTCATTAGTTCTGCAATAATGACGAATATATAATCTGTTAATTTATTCTCTTCATCGAGGGTTATAGAATGTTTTGAAATTGAATCATTAACTCCTCTAAATAATTCAATAACTTCAGGATACACGTTTTTAATGTCTTGAATAACCCGACCAGTATCCTCTGGTTTCTTCTCTTCTTCATGTTCTTCGTTCCCGTCGTTACGTGGTTTTATATCTCTAACCATCATCAACGCAGCCATAACCGGAGGGTTTGTTGCTACCTGTTCGAAAATCCGTCCGTTATGTATGGTATATCTAAATAATTTCTTTGTGTTTGTTAAAACATTTGAAACAAGTCTTTTAAAACCATCTACAAAATTTCCTGTTTCACCTAATGTTCTTGCAGCATTTACAAGCTCACCCATTCCCGCTTTTGACCCCAAAAACGTCCATATTGCATTTATTTCACTCTGTATAGTTGTCCATTCAGCGAAACTAATTCCTGCATTCGCTAAGTTGAAAATGAAATTCAGTGGATCGAACTTAATTCCACCTTCTTTTTCAATTTCAACGAACTCACTAACATGAGATTTTAAGTATTCTTTCGTTAAAATTGTTTTCCCCGATGTTATGTCATTAACGAAACTATCACCGTCAAAAGTTAACGAATTCAATTTCGTCGTTGATGCTTTTATTTCATACACCGCTTTATCGATACTTTTTGGCTCACCTTCTTTAGAAGCATATGAAACATTAATGAATGAATTATATGTATTCGTGAATGAGTTAAAATCAATGATTTTCATTAATGACGCCTTTAATGATTCATTAACTGTTGAATCCCTTAAAACAATTACTGAACTGTCGTTAATGAAAGGTACACTGCAAACCGTCGAGTTTGGATCAAATGCTGTAGTTGGTGCAGGAATATTAATGATATAAGTCATTAAATCATTAAGTGACGTAAATAATGTTGTCGTTTTTGATTTAATTTCTTTAGCATCTGTTATATATGGTAATTTTATTTCTGTAGTTTCTGAATTAAAGATATTCGCTAAAATGTTTTGTAAACTGTTTTGAACAGCAGTATAAACCGTTGAATCCGGAACTCTTACGATTTCACCGTCCTTAATAAAAGGCATTGCACATGGTGTAGTGCTTGGGTCAAATCTTTCGGGATTATAATTCAACATATATTCTAATGCTTCATATACAGACTTATATACTGTTGTGTCGTTCTTCATGACAACTTCACCATTTACAATGAATGGCATTGTACATGGAGTTAAAATAGGGTCAAACTTTTCATAGTCCTTCCATGTTATGTATTTCTCGGTATTTCCATCACTGATAACAATATATTTGTCAGTAAGTGTGAGAGAGTATTGACCAAAATATAAACGTTTAGCTCTGTCAGCTTCATACGCATATGCAGCAATAGTCATATTTTAATGAGAATAAAATGTTGTTCTATTTGCAAAGTACAGACCCAAACGAATACGGGACAGTAAAGCTACAAACAAACTTAGGTCTACAGAATGAGCCACTTGCATTCAGAATGGTTGACTTCAATACTATCGCAACTTTTGTCATAACAGATGAAACAGATTTCATGGAGCTTGAAATAGATGGAAAGAAGCATGAAATAAGATTTCACAATAATGTAGAATATAAGATGGAAACATTAGCTGGAGTGTTAAATGCTCTCATAAATACTACAATAAACAAGGATAACGAAGAAAACTTAATGAATGTTAAACTTATTGCAGGAGTTTTGAAGTTCAGTTATGCGAAGGAGTTTAAGATAACACGAATGAGTCATAGAGTACAATTGCTTCTGGGAGCATACCATATGACATTTCCTTTGAAAAGTGTTGACAAAACGATTGAGATGAAATCTGTTCCATACGTATGTTATGGCAATTGTTTATACATTGAGTCAAAAATAGCTAATGTCACAGGTATTTCAGGAGTTAATAGTAAAGGTTCAGTAGAATATAAATCCTTCTGTTATGCAGTCAATTCAATGTTCATTCCAAACGTTCCTGTCATAGCAACTCATTTAGGTAAATGGGTTCGCATTAGTCCTCATAATTTGAAAGACATGCAATTCAGACTTGTTGACTTCAAGGAGAGCCTGTAGAACTGAAGGCACCAGTGCGAATGACTGTTGAAGTTGACTTTTTAGAAAATATTAAATGCAACAGCTTACAAGAGAACTCAGAGCTAAAAATATAAAGTATGAATGTTATGTATTAGGTCATGAACTTTGGTTATTGCTGTTTGATGAAACAAATGAGTTAGTTATGTCAGTCAAGAGAACAGAAAAAGGCGTCAAAGGCGCCGAGCGCAAAGCGCTATATTGTGTTAGTGAAAACTGCACCAAGTCAATAAGATTAGGTTTGCATTATGAAGATGAGTTCGATACTGTTGAAGAAGTTTTGGACAGATATTACAAATTGCTTTAATTTACTAAAACATATTTCAAGCAAAGTTTATATTCTGTTGAAAGTTTTGTATACTCGTTCGAATATTTATACTTAAACTCAACTCCTGTAGTTCCTGGTGTTTCAATGATGCGGATGTTACCTATTTTCATGAATGGTGGCGTTTGACCACAGCATTCGATTTCAGGGTCGAGATAGTCAATGACACATTGTTTCCTGTTATTCGTGAGATAACATTTTCAAGGTCCTCCTTTGTTAGAATTATTTGGTTCTTGCTTATAAGATTTGTCAAAAGCTTCTTATCGTCTTTGAGTAAAATTGTTTGTATAACTGAAGAAGGTAATGGTCTACGTTATCTGAAGGATTTGTTTGAACATTTATGTAAGGTTGTCGTTGGCTTCTCTTGAAAGAATTTGGTCCAGTGGTGGATACTCTAACTTAACATCTGATGTAGCGTTAGCGTTTGAAGCTGAGTTTAAATTCACGGATTTCAGTTCTGGTTCTTTTTCTTTCAAACACTCTGAACTATAGTTCTTTATGACAATATTGTTTGTCGTTCGTGAGTCAACATTTGATGTTGGTTCAATTGGAACATTAACGGCACCAGCTAAGATGGATTTGCTTCTCATTTCATATAGAATAAAACCTTTTATATGTATGAAATGAACAATACACTCGACAAGGGTTTGAATGTAAAGCTAACGAATGAAAATATTGTTGAATTCACTGAGACAGGAGCTGTGTATAAAGATGTAGAACTACTGAACAAAAGAGCAAAGGGAAGAAGCAGGAACATGAACAAAGGGTGGAAGCCTATAAAAATTTATGTCAATGATGGCTCAGGAGGTTCAAACATAAAGTATGCAGAAAGTTATAGAGTTTATGCGCTAAAGGTGAAAAGCCTTCATTTAAGAACAGCTATTCTAACGCATATCCTCAAAAGTTAACGGATGGGGAAGTGGATGATATGAATGACAGCAAAAATATTAACAGAAATGGCGACAGAGATGCATGGAATTTGTTTACCATCAGTCAATTGAAGGTTAAACTTTAAAACAATGTTGGTCGTTCCCATGGAATATTTTTGACTTTAATGGTATTAGTCATGATATGAATCTCAAGGTATGAACGAGGAGAGATGAGAGACTTATATGCTTCCCAAATTTCTTCAAAAGGTAATGTTATACCTGACTGTTTCCAAATGAGTTCAATATCATAACGTGAGAAACCTTGAAAGATAACGAAGTCAGTTATGAGACGTTTTATGTTTAAAGCTAAAAACCTCCATGTTTGCATAAGTATTGCTACAGTTAAATGGTAATGTCTGACTTTAGTAATGATGTTAGCTAATGGTGAGTCTGGTTTTGACACTAAACCTTTACCAGCGAAGTCGTCGCAAACTAACAAGTGTTTGAAGGATATTTTTGAAGGGGTATTTTGAAAGTTTTGATAGAATGTAGTTTGTCAGTCGTTTCATATCGTAAACTCCTGAGTATTGACGTAAGTGGTGTTTGTCAATAATTCTTTCCATCTCCTCAGAAGTCTTTTGCATTCCTGACTGTATAAATTCAACGATGGCATAATATTTCCTCTTACGTCGAATGTAACGTTGAAGAAATTCAATGAGTTCGCTATCTGGAACTTTAACGACAGAGGCTTGAACTTTTGACATAAATGTTTTCGCTGTTGAATCCATAGAGTCTGAAGTTGCTGATATAATGATTTGGTCATATAATGAGTCTTCCTAAACGCTCTGTTATGAGTATATGACGAATGAGGTTAAATGTCTTACCTGAACCCATCTTTCCACAATAGAAATAAACACCATTTGAACAGAACTCATAGTCCTTACTGAAAGGAAGAATGAGAGAAGAGTTAAGTTTGTCTGTAGTTTCATTCATGTCTTCATCTACGTCATGTATTAAATGCTTCATTTTATCTCTCATTAAAAATGCAAGTCAGAAATATTCAGAACATAGCACCGAGTCTAACTGACAAGAGTATAAAGATATACTATGAACACGTTATGATGAAACCTACCAAAATTCAAGAAAGTCAGTATACTTATGAATATCCAAGACACTGGGTAGAGTATGTAGGAGGTGAGAAAGCTATTGAAATCAGACAGGTTCGAAGTATTCCAGCAGGAAGAACAATATTATTGAAGAACTTTAATGTTTTGAGGTATAATGATGAAACAAAGAAGCAAGATAGTTTTCCTATTGCTGTGTATGTGAACCTAGACACAGGAGATGACATGAAAGTTTTTAACACAAAGCTTCAAACGGTAGTGAGAGAACAACTGACTGCGGAAGGACATCCATTACCTTCAGAAGTTACCATAGCATATAATTTTGAAACAAATGCAATAGATTTTAAAGTCGTCTCTGCAAAGAAGTCAGGTTTTACATTTAATGAAGCAGATGTATATTCGAATGAAAACTTCAAAGCTATTGCATGGTTAGATAATGACGATTGCTTTAAGAAAATATTTAAATTCAGTGACTCAACGATGTCAATAGATGACCTTCGTGGAATGTTACCATCGACGTTTACAGTTGAAGGTTCAGCAGGATTGCTTACAAGATTGTCAATTGGTGGTATTTGGTCTCGTGAGAACATTGTATAAAATCCAGTATAAGTGAATTTGCTGAAGAATCTATATTATGTCTTTCAAACTACATGTATTCGCCACCGAAGCATTATAGTATAACAAACTTTGTCAGTAAGTTTAATATAAGACTTGTCGAACCTTCTTCAATGAAAGATGTTGTGCTACCTAAAGATGGAAAGGATGGACTCATTATTGAGATGATTTTAATAGCATATTAAATGAGCTTGTTCTTTGAAGGTCATTCATGATGAAATAACTGTTGTAGAAGATGTTAGCAATTGTTCAGACATTTTTGAGTATAGATGAGATAAGAAAGAAGTTATGAAGCCGCAAACGCGGCGAGGACGAAGTCCATGAGAATGTTTATGTTTCATTGACTTTCTCCAGTAACGAGAACTTTTATGAGATAATATTGAAGAGAGATGATTTTAATATGGTGTAAATGGTAGCTTGGGCAGCTTTAGGCGCAATGGGAACAAAAGCATTAGCATTTGGAGCAAAAGCACTTGGGCTTATGACGCAGTAAATAAAATGAGTGGAGGAAGGGTTTCGAAGACATTAGATGCAAATAAAGGGAAGATTGGAGGCTGGGTTGCAAAGAAGTTAAGATTAAATAAAAATAGGGCTCATAAATAAAGCATCCAATTTGGTTGCGACTGAGTCAGAAAATGCTTTAGGAAAGGACGATGAGTTTGCAAAACACGCAAAAGGACTTTAATGACCAGATGAAAGGTGAAACAATGCATTTAAATAGAGTCGATGGAACTCTTCCTCCACCAGTAGTTCTTCCGTATGGTCCCTATGGAATGTATGGAAATCCTTACGAAAGACCATTTGACCCATTGACTGGTGGAAGTAACTGGTATCATTACGACGAAGAAGAAAGACAGTCAAGTTGGAGACAGACGTGAAGAAAGCAACTAAAAAGAAACCAAGGAAGAGAGTTATAAAGCAATGAATTCAACGGGTGAAAAAACAGGTGAAAAAAGAGGTGAGATTTCACCACTTCACCTAAATTTATTTTTGTGCTATGTTTTCATACGTGTGAGGGTGGTGATATCATTAATTTTTAAGTTTATTTTTAAGTTTACTGAAAATTTTTATTTGGATGTAATGACAGAACAAAAGCAACTCATTCGAATTCCACAGTATAACAAACATACATTTAAACATTTATTCTTCCTTCCTGAGCATAACATGTTCTTTCAAATACATCCGAGACCAGTTGACTTTTCATTGACTGTTTATAAAGATAGAAATAGTTATATCATTAAACCATACGATGACGAAGGTAAGTTATGTAAATTGTACGTTAAGAAGTTAGAGAAAGTTTATGGCTTCAAGTATGACTACAATAGGGTTAACACTGATGATGAAGATATTGAGGAAAATTTATGAGAACATTAGTGAAGTCGTTAGTGAGAACGATAGTGAGAACGTTTATTTTTACATTAGTGAGTTCGTTAGTGAAGTGAAGTGGGTGGCGGCTTTGTAAATATTTAAGGTTAAGTTAGTGTTTGTGTTTGTGTTGTCGTTTGTGTTGTAAAATATATGTTAACGGTTTTGTAAAGTGTCAAATTCACAAGTATTGCGTACGGAGGAACGCAGTGCCACCATACCCAACAATTGTATACTAACTGACATCGTCATAACTCTCATCACTGTTGTGATTCCAAATGCGATTATTAAGGTTCAAGTCGCTAATGTTTTGAATGAAGAAAGAGTAGTAAGAATTCTTACAAGGGCAGGTAATCAGATTGTTGAGCAAAGAGCTTCAAAACACGATGAATGTTTGAAATTAATTCAACACATTTTGGAAATTGTCGAAAGCCGAAGGATTGAACCTAATGTCCTTATTCCATCTTTGAAGGCAATATTAAATTTGGCACAAAGAAGTTTAAAGGAAGAGTAAGCAAGATTAGATAATTTGGACTTTTTTTAAAATTAATGAATAAACAGTATATTTTTGAAGTGTAAGCTTATTTACCTGAAGCTATATTACTTAATATAACATTCAAAGTATTATTGCTATTTATTGGAGAACAAATTTATGTAATTTTCACATGAAAATTGATAAATTTGTATTTCCTTATGATAATCAATTTTTGTATTTGTAGAGAGTCTCCCTGCATGATATCAAGACTTGGCTATAAGTCTTTATCCATTTTTGAAAATTGTATTGTAAATTGTAAGAATTTCTGAATACTACTACTATAAAATATAATTGCTTATTTATGTATATTCTCCCTGCATGATATCAAGACTTGGCTATAAGTCTCTATTCATTATGAGTATGACCCCATTTTTTTACAAAAAGTGCCGAATTGCAACTTTGTCCCAATCTCTAGTTTATATTGATTCCCCAAGGCAGCTTCCGAGGATAAAATTTAGAAAGCCTTTACTTTTCCTAAATTGGAATTTGAATTCAACATGCCTAGAATTCTTGAAAAATCCAATAAAATAACAATTTGTGAGTTTTCATTATATTAATCATGGAAAAGAAGTTTTTATGGGATATATAAGAAGGATTTTAACAAAAATAACGTTCTGAATTTTCACATGTTTTGCACATTTGAGAAATCCAAGTTTTTTTTTATTTTAATTTCTAATATTCAAAAAAATGTTTTATTGTTTACATGCAATTATGATAAGTTAATACATCTTGCTAAAGTTCTTATAAAGCATTAGCTGACAATGGACATTTTTTTATGGCATATCCGGTGGTGGACAAGCTAAGTACTCTCTTCTCATTGGATATATTTCCGAAGTATCCCAGTTTTCGATGAGGAAGACCATGAAGTCAATGGCAACATCCGTAAACTTCCTAACCATGTCCTGTGAAGTGACATCGTGGGATTGAACTATATTTGGTCCGAAAACGATGGCGAGGTTCTTCGCTGTCATCTTTGTATATTCCTCTGACCGAGTGAGTTCCTGGAGGAAGCCAATAAGGTATTTAAGAACCATCTTATGAGGACGAGGAAGAGATTCCGAAAACTGTATGTACTCCTGCTTTCCGTCATCAAAGACGTTCATCAAATCGTTGACGCGATCTATCGGAACAACTGGATTTGGAATATCTCTGAACCACTTCTTGAAAAGTGAAGCGATGTCGTGTAGATCTGCTTTGGAAATCATGTCCTTGCCATCGTTTGTTCCAAGAGCCATTTCGTCGACTTTCTTCAAACTGCCTGGCAATCTGAAGATACCTTCAGTTTTGGCGGCTCCGCGTTTGAGAAGGAAATCAGCCATGTAGTATTCGATAAATGGAATAGGAAGCTTTGGCTCTTTTGTGCGCTGGTTCCACATCATTTCGTAAATAGATGATCCGAACGTTTGCCAGCCCATTGAGACCTGCATTGGGATCTTCTTGACGTAGCCGATTTCGTTGCTCTCGCGAGGGATGCCAACTGCGCATCTAGCGGCAAATCTGATGTAAGTGAACTGAGCGACAGCGGCGATGAGGATATCTGGGTGGTGGGACATACCTACGAGGTGGGCCTTGATCCAGTTTTCGCTATTTCTTGTTGAAGGGAAGATTGTAGCGATAATTAAGAAAAGTTCCATTCCTTTGCTGAGGATGGTGTTGTTTGGTGTGTGGCTTGTCTGCTTAATTAGCTGGAAGAAGACCTCATCGCGAAGGGCTGGGTAAGTGTATAATTGGTTGACAATTGACTCGGCAGCGGCAAGTGGAGCCTTTGAGGGCATGACGCCGGTGTACTGGAGGATATGCTTGAAGCAAAGAAGTGCTGTTTTCGTAAGGTTTTTATCGAGAGCCTCGAGAAGAGGTTCATCTAGTGGTTCTGGAGTAAAAGAGACAAGCTGCTCAACTGCAATTCGCTTGCGGTTGAAAACTTGCTTGCTGCGATGCTCTCTGAAGTATTTCTTTGCAAAGTCTTGAATTTGGAATTGATGAATTTGAGATGCGAGTTCGGAGTCGATGAAGTGGCTTACGTCCTCGTCCTGTGGGACAACACGCTGAGCTTTATTTTTATCAGCTCCAACAAGAACTGTCTGAGCGCGGCGACTAACTGTCGGCCTGAAATTAGAAACTTGTGTTGGAACATCAAGAGTAAGATTTTCGGAGACATTCACATCACCTCCTGGATTTTCGTAAGGTGAACGCTCTTGTTCCTGAGGCTCTTCTGCTTGCTCTTCCTCAGCTATTTCATTATTTTCTTCATCAGGCTGCTCCGGCTCAGGATTTTCTACTGGTTCTTCAGGAGTTTCGGATGCTGCAGGGGCCTCGGGCTCCGGTTGTGGCTCTGGTGCTTCAGGTATGACGTATCCTTCTGGTGGTGTCCATTGCTCGCGAGATTCTGGATCAAAAATTAAACCACCGATTGGATATTCGTATGTTGATTCGCCAGTCGTTGGATCTAAGAAATATGGCGTGTTTTCATCATCATAATAAACGTAGTATCCCTTCGCTGACATCGAATTCGGTTTTTATCAAAAAGCGAAGATGAAGTGCTATGTCACGTTTATTTCGTTCTCTTATTTGAAATTTCTCTTTCCAAAGGTACATTCACTAGGCGATAACAGTAAAATGGGATGAAAATAGGATAAATAGCATCCCTATATAGTGCCTAACAATATTTATACGGGCCAAAAAAAATTTGGCTAGAGATTTGGCGAGTTATAAAACTTAGAAAATTGAGAGGGATTTTTATTTTTGAATTTTTTTTGGAAAGTTAAAATTGCGATTAAAAATCGATTTTCAGGAGAACTAAGCATCTCATCATATATTTAAATCGATAAAAATATTAAATAATAGTTGAATAGTATAACAACGTGAAATTATGGCTGAATCTACAGAAAAAATGAACATATTTGACATTTTTGAAAATTCATACGTTAGATGGTGACAGACTCATAAACTATACTTTAGCTAAGATTGATATATGGTTTCAACAACACATGGTTAAAATCGTAAAAATATTTTAGATTTCAAAAAGATATATATGGTAATATAAAGGAACAAAGTCAACAAATAGCATGTTAAATATGTTATAATGAACTTTTTATTAGATCCAATAGTAGATATCGAATGGTTTCCAGCTTTATGGTTAAATATTTTCTTTTCGAGCTTCTCTTTAACTGTTGTATTAAGGTTGTAAATTTTTGATGCTAGAAACTATGGAATCTTCTTTGCTGCTGCATTTTTCTTGAGAGTTCTTGCAATTTCGAATAGATCTGCGCATTGTATGAAATGGAGGCTTTAAAATATCTTGAAAACAGAATAGGACTGCTTTTCCAAAGGAATGCTTACTTGTAAATCAGAGAGTTTCAAAATTGACAGCAAGATTATCATCATAACTTTCGATTTTGCTGCGAAAAAGGAAGACAAGTAATTAACAAATCATTTACTGTTGTTCATCAAAAGAAGAAAACTTTGATAACAACTAATGATGATAAAATCAAGCTATCTTTTAATATTTTAAATTGATAAGACATTCAAAATATTTGAATGGTTTAAAATATTTTCTTTTAATTTCTATAAGATATTATCATGATTATATAATAAAATTTAAATTTTTATTCAAAAAAGCAATATTTCAAACTTTTAATTTCAAAAATCTTAATTCTGCAATAAGTGTATTTAATTGTAGCAAATTTAATGATCCTTCGTCATGCTTAGCAATTTGGAACTCATAAATTAAAAAAAAAAAGGTAGTGGGGCTTCCAGGCACTTCGTGCCCTCTAGCCCCGAAGATGTTTAGTATAAATGAAGTTTTTATTCGGAAAATTGTTAGTCTTCTGGTGTGAATTCGGAGGACTCTTCTTCTTCCTCCATTGCTTCTGGGAAGAAGCCTTCTTCTGGGTCGAAAACATTATATAATGTTTCACTTTTCACAAATTATATATGTTTTCATGTTTTGTCACTTTTCTGTCACTTTTCGGGTAAAAACATTTTTATTATTATATATAAATGAATTTTACAAAACCTCCGTTACCGTTCTTTGGAAATAAGAGTAAATGTAAAGATATTATATTGAGAGAACTTAAGAAACTACCGAATGGTCTAACATTTGTAGATTTGTTCGGTGGAAGTTTCTATATATCCCATTTGTGCCATACAATATTCCCAGACTCAAAGATTATATGCAATGACTTCGACAACTATATGGACCGTCTCAAACATATACCAGACACAAACAATATATTGAAAGAGTTAAAAGAAAAGATACCTATAGGTAAGATGGAACGTATACCATTAGATAACAAAAATATTGTGAGAGAGGTTTTGAAAAAAGCAGAATATATAGACTGGGATAGTATATCTGCTAGACTATTATATAGTGGTTCTATAAGAGTTCATGACATTGAAACACTTATGTCAAAAGTTTTATATCTTAACTATACAAATGTTTTCAAAGAGGACATAGAAAAATATATTGAGGGTATAGAGTTTGTGAGATGTCGTTGGACAGAGTTGTATGAAAAATATAAAGACAAGGAAAATGTTTTCTTTATAGTGGACCCGCCGTTCTATAACACATGGGATTTTCAATACCAAGTAGACTGGACTTTGAGAGACTCTTTAGAAACTTTAGACGTTTTACATAACCATCCATGCTTTTACTTTACATCCGATAAAAGTGGTTTGGAAACCGTTATGAGATGGTTAGAGGACATACATGACTATGAGTTTAGATATGACAAGATAGAATATGAGAGAGGTCCTATAAACCGGAGAAAGTGTCATAACAAAGAAATTTTATTAGTAAGTAAATGTGGTTTGAAATAGGACTACTTGTTTTAGGTTTTTTCCATTGTGTCATTTATTTATTTGACGTGGCAGAAAAGTACAGAGAATATGAAGATGAACCAATGCCTGCAAATGTTCAGTATATGTACTCGTAAAAGATATTTTTATCTAATATTAAATGGACGCACAGAACTTAGTTAGTATGACTAAGTCGTGTACTGAGGCACTGCGCGCCACCTTACACCACTTAACCTTAAATATTTACGAAACCAGTAACGTATATTTTACAACACAACCATAACACCAACTTAACCTTAAATATTTACAAAACCATCTAACACATAAACGACTTCACTAACGACTTCACTAACGACTTCACTAATGACTTCACTAACGACTTCACTAACAAATTCCCTACCGTCCTCACTAAATAAAAATAACCTTATTTTTATTTTTTTTTAATTTTTTATTTCATTACAAAGACATGTCCGACTACATTTACTATGACTCTTTCCCAGAACGTTTCCGTGAACTATTCAAAACTCAAGTAAAACTGAGAAACATGCATTTTAACAAAGACAGACCCATTGACGATGAAAGAAATCCTGAATATATTACAATCCCTTATGATGCTAAATTTATTGCATACATTCCTTATGGACGTAGAGGAACGAAAACTATTTCAACAAAGAACAAAAATTATTTCTGGAGCGATGAAGAAACTTGCCTTATCTACATAAATGCATACTTAAATAAAGCTACATATTGTACAAAAGAAGGTTGGACTGGATTTGAGCTCTACATATACGACGACGATGGAAACAGACGTTGTGTATACCCATACGATAATATGTACCATTGTTTTCATCAAGCATTAAACGAATACATAGTCAGTAAGGGTCTCATTCCTGCTGAGTAGAAATGTTATATTTTTGTTCTGTCATTTATATAAAAATAAACTTAAAAATAAACTTAAAAATTAATGATATCACCACCCTCACACGTATGAAAACATCCATTTAAATTTAGGTGAAGTGGTGAGATCTCACCTGTTTTTTCACCTCTTTTTTCACCCGTTGAATTCATTACTTTATAACTCTCTTCCTTTCTCCAACTCTTCTAACTTCTTCTTAAGTTCAGCAATGTTGGACTCATGAAGTTTAATCTTTCTCAAAATTCCTTCTTTATCTAATGGTTGCTTTATCTTTCTAAACTGAACTCTACCATCCTTCATAGTATGAATGTAAAAACCTTCTGGAATAGTTCCTGATTTAATGTATTCTACCAAAACTTTTGTTTCATTGCTTCAGTGACTTTAGTCGTCATTTCAATCAAATAAAAATTTTAATATTAAATAAAATAACGTTATTTTTTCAGTAAGGAAACGCAGGAGTTTTACGATTTATTTGAGGCGTGGGTTCTGGTTTAAATGTTGGAGTCGGTTTAGGAGTTGACTTTTGAACAGGAGTTTGTACTTCCATAGGTTCAGGAGTTATTGAAGGTTTTGCTTGTGAAGGCGTTGGTTTTGGCGAATGTGTTGAAGTTTGTTTAACTTCAGCTACTTCAGTATTATTTATAACATTTGCTTTATTTCTTTTCAACATCATAACTGCTCCTGCTGTAGCTAGCCAACCTAGTGGGAGACCATATCTTATAAGGACTTGACCAAATGCTATTTTTGACAGGAGCTGGTGGAACACCTAACCTTGGTGAAACTGCTCTTTGCCATTGTGCAGCTCGTAAGAATATTCAATAGGTGCTCCATAATCGTTTGGTAAAGTTTGTTTCATAGATGGTGAAGGTTCGCGAGAGCTTGATGAAGAACTCATTTATAAGCTTTAAAAATAAACGTTCATCCTTTATTCCTCACTGTCGTCCGTGGCTAAGTTATAGTCATCTAATCTTATTATGGGGATGCCATTAGCACGCACCTGAATGGCAAAGCAACAATCCCTCATAAATCCAATAAGTGGCTTTGGTACGTTTTCAGTTGCTAGTTCAATAGGTCCTTTAACAGACAATTTGTATGTTATTGGAGCAGTAGATGTTTGACCTTGTTGGAAGCAAAAGTCCACTTCTGTTGGAAAACCACATAAGAAATGTGTGTTGTCATAGCTATCCCATTTATGTTCCACACTACCATCATCCACCAATGACCTCATAACATCTTCATTAAATCCTATCATATCATTGTTTGTATTGCAAGCGTTCGCAACCATTTCATAAAATACAGGACCATATGATTTTTCAGGTTCTGCAGGCATATTCCATAAGCTCCCATGGAAAGCTGAAGATATTTAAACTTAGGGTTCTCAAAATTAACATAATAGTTGTCTTTCTTTCTAAATAGTGCCCAAATACTTTTAACATTAATAGGCGTATAAGCTGCTGTAAATGTTGCACTTGAACTATCTGTATTCTTTGAGAATGAACCGTCCATAGGAATCCAATCCATAACTTTAACAGGAAAACATAAAGCCTCGTTTGTATAATGTTCTACAAGTTCTGTATAAATGTTAGGGTCTAAAGAGAATGACTTTGGATGAATGAAACATTCATTAAAATCCATCTTTGTTCGAAATAGTTGCTGGGTTACAGTTGTAATAGTAACTGTTCCACTAGCTTCTACTGCCTTCGTTATCATAGTGAATGGTTCATTCCATGGAACAAATTTATTTGTCGGTGATTTGAATCTGAAGCAAATGCAACTTTAAGAGTTGGATTGAAAGCAATGATATCATTTACAGATATAGATGTGCATTGTAAGGCGTCGCTACTGAACTTTACTTTAAGCTGAATGTTTCCTGCAAAAGCTGGAATAAATCTTATAGCTTCTAATGGTAAAAACTTTCTAACAGGAATTCTTAAACGAAGCTTAAAATCAAATGATTTTCCTGCTGTAATTGGACCACTAACAATTTGTCCTGTTCTGCATGTTCCCGAATGACTCCATACATCTTCATGTCGAGTCTTTGAGAAAAATCTACTTTCTTTATTTGTTCGGTAGTTTTGAGTTTGAAGTTATATATGCTTCTTCTCTTGCGTTGTCTTGAGAATATACGATACGACCATTTGCAAGGATTTGATATCCAGCAACTGCATAGAAAGCGTCATCGAAACCAATCCAAAATCCTGGTGGGTTTGTTTTATTGGAACCTGAACCAATTTCTTTATCTACAATAAATTGACCTTCCATTTATACGTAATGAATGTATTGTAAAGGTCCAACATATTTTCACCAGGAGGTGAGAGATTGAATGTTACCCATGTGTTATCTTTAGCAGTTCCAGGTTGTGATGGAATCTTTGCGTCAGAATATTTTCTATTAGTGTCACCAATTTGAACTGCATTGTCTATGATATCGAAATATGAGCGAATCTGATGAATATGCTCTGCTGGAGTAAATTCGTTTAGCTGTTCGTTCTGCATGTATTTACTTCAGATAAAAATATCTATTTACTTCATTATTCTCACTCTTCTTCTTGGCATTCGTGGTGGAAGTTGTTTCTTGACATTTTCAATGAACTGTATATTCTCTTTTGTCTCAACTTCTTTCACTGGTGGGTCAGGGTTCTTTGACTCGGTTTGTTTTTCAATGAAATTCACGAACTTTGCAATAAGCTCTTGGTTCGTTATTGAAAGTACATCTGGCTTCTTTTCTTCTGGTTCTATTGGTGGCTCAGTTTGAACAGAAGGTTTTATATGGGCTTCGTGGACTTCACCCTTGCCATACACCTTAATGTTGTCGCTTTCTGCATTCGCTAATGGAACCTTTCTTTTTCTTACGTATATTTTACCATCTTTACTCTGACTTACGTAATAGAAAGGATGTTGTATTCCTCTTGCGTCATTTAATATAATAGACTCTCGTTCTGATTTTGACAAGCTCATTTTACATCGGTTAAAGTTTTAATTTAGTTTTTTATCTACAGTCAAATGACTCAGTCAAATCCTACGGACAAGACCCAAGGGGTCATAGATGTTGAAGCATTGAAGACAGAAATTCGTGAACAAATTTTATCCGAACTGAAGGAACAAAAACCAGAACAAAAGCCAGAGAGACCAAAGAGAAAACTTAGTGAAAAACAACTAGCTGCATTAGCTGCTGGAAGACAGAAGAACCCACGTTTGCTGGCGAAAAAAGCTAGAGAAGAAGCAAAAGCTAAAGAAGCTGAAGCAAAGAAAGAGTAAATGGTTTATTTTTATCCGAATTAAATGTATAGACAATACCTTTAACTGTTGCGTTCAGTAGTGAAAACCCTGACGTCAAAATAAAGGGGAACAGAGTAACGTTTAAGTTTCCAACAGACTGGATTGTGAACATAAATGAAGAGAAGTACATTGGCATAACATCTATGTATATAACACGTGCTTTCAGAAAGGTTGACTTTATACTTCAAGTCGAGATAGAAAATGACGAACAGTCTTTAAGCGCCCAAAACATTCACATATACAAATACTTTAAAGACGATACAACATTGTTGCAATGTATGATTTCATTTAATGAGATGTTCGAGAAAAAGTTCAATATTGAAGTACAAACTTTACAGCCTTTACGTGAGTTTCTTGCACAACTGAAAGAAGAAGGTAGTCAGCCACAACTTATAGACTTTCATTATGAATTTAATGAAAATGAAGATGGAACTCATGACTGTCAATTCATTGTATTCTCACCATTCAATGAAGTCGCTAAAAAGAAAGAAAATCCATTACGTATAAGATTTCAAATCTCGAACCAAGTGATGATTTTAAGAATGTTTTCAATTATGATGCAATGCTTCCGAGGAAAAATGAATTTTCAAAGATTGTAACACCTGGCATTTGGGATAGAAAGCAAGCTATTTACTCTAATATAGCCAAAGGAGTTGAAAATGAGTTCATTGGTCATACAAGAACTTCACCACTTCCTAACCCTAAATACTATAAATTAACTGGCTTCAATCGTGAGTTTTGGATAGACATGTTCTCCACTCATGACCATAAATGTCCAGTGTTCTTGCCTCCAGATGGGAAGGACTGTCTCTACATTGAAGCACAACTCTTAAACTCTACCATCGCAGTATTGTAAAATCTACGCTAGCTTTATTTTTATCACGAATGACCTCATTGCTGACAAAAATAAATGACCTCAGAACTTCAACTTACGAATAAAGCTTGTTTTAGTCGTTATTGAAAAGTTGAACTTTTCAGCAAAGCAAGGTTGACATGACTTACATAAGTCGAATGCAATCTCTTGACCATCATAAAGTGCTTTGTAAAGTTTCATTAAACTGAACTCAGAGTCTTTGTCATATGTTCCAACAGGTATGTGAATGTTCTTATCTTCATTGTAATAGCATTGTATAGCTTCAGGAAACATTTCATTAGCGGTTAAAGCAATAACATCTTGCTTCACGCCTTTCATTCTGCAGTGAAATGCAACTTCATTTAAATCATTCGTGAGTAAGTCTATGTAGGTCTTCTTTCCACAGAAAATACTTTTATAAGCTAAACTTTGTTTTCCAGGTGTTATTTCTGCAAAGTCGCTATGAAATTGACCAAGGTTCTTTCCTATAAGTTCTCTACCGTATCTCTTCTTAAACTCTGCTGCAAGCTTTGGGATGTCTTCATTATATAAGTGCATACTGTCGGTATCCTGGTAAAAGATTTGAAGTCCCATGTCCTCTGCAGTACAGAATACTTCATTCATAATACGTTTTGACATAGACAGAATATTAACACCAAGTGGACAGAAGTTAAAGTGTCTGCAAATGCTTTTCGTTAGCTTGAAAATAGTTTTATCTGAACCATCCAAACCTTCGAACTTCACTATATGGTTGTAATTTCTTATAGCATATCTTATAGCATCTTTGTCATTTACTATGGTTATTTTTGACTCAATAGGAGATAGAATAGTTTTGCCATAAATGCTGTTCAGAATGAGTTTTATAATTTCTTGTAAGGGGTTTTCTTCTTTCTTATACTTTAACCTTAACTCAAACAACTTCTTTACTTCATCTCTTATTCTCATATCTCTGTTTCCATCGTAATAGTATCCTTGCAACACTTCACATTTGACACCTTGATATTTTATGAGGTCTTGTAATGTTATATGGTCAACATACATGAGACAGCAAGTGTTTGAACTTCTTGGAACGTTAAGTTCTGGATTTAGTTCAGGGTCGCAAACTATTAAATGAAAGTGTCTGGGTATACCAATCTCTGTTATCTTAATGAGAACAAAGAAGCCAGACATAAACTTTTCACCAATGGGTTCCTTTTGGTCGTCATCGAATAAATGTCTCATGAGATACTCTGTGCTTAACATTTCTTCCTTCAATACTTTTGGAATACCTTCTAAAGTATAAAGTCTTGCTATAGCTGAAGGATATAATGAAACAGTGTCGAAGTCAGCAATGAGTTTCTTTTTGCTCTTTTGTTTCATGTTATCTGACAACATACATCTTCCACCTTGAATGCATCTCGAAATAAATTCTCTTGGTTTATTTGAGAGGTCATAAAGATTTCCATTCGGGAAGTATACTCTGTTCTCAAACAATTTGTTAGCAATAGAACAAATACTAACGTAGTCATAAACGTTTAAATCAAACTCTTTCAATAAGTCATTGCGGAACTTTACAAAACCTTCTCTTAAAATTCTTACATCTTGTTTGCAGTAAAACGTGCTATATTTTTCTAAGTCGAAGTGGTTTTCATCTATTCTGCAACCTTTGATGGAATCTATGTTCTTCATAAATGTATCTGCATCATGGATAAACTTACATGCTTCAGAAATGACACCAGTTCTGTTGTCATTTGCTAACAAAACACTGCTGTAGTAGTTATATGGAAATACTTCTTTCGGTCCTGTTTGTAAGTTAAACATAGCAGGAAATAGTTTAAGCTTCTTATTTATAACACTGTAAGAGTCTTTTATAATAATTGCCCGTCCTTTATATAAACCAGTTATTTGCATTGTTCGTGAACCTTTAATGATGGGAGTTCCTTTCACTTCTGTCATGTGTCTTAAGATGAAGTTTATGTCATAACTGAGGTTATGGAAATATATTAAACTCTTGTCAGGAAGTCTTTCCAAAAATTCTGTTGCACAGTTTTGACCCCAAATGCTTTCACTCACTGAACCATCTTCACTGTCATAACAGATGTTAAAAGCTTTATGAAAGCCATCCGTACTACACTCAAAGTCAGCAAAGAAAACGTGCTCAGGAATGAATTTACATTTAGCTTTATTTACTTCTTTTGACTCTGCTTTCTTCTTCAGTTGTACACAATACTTTGGAGCATATGTCAAATCTTTAAATGGTGCAAGGTTCTGTTTATATAAGTCAGTAGTATATGTGAAAAGTTCTCCATAAGAAATAGGTTCGAAATATTTGCACTCCCACAATGTTTTCATAACATCCCATAACGGTGTTGTTCTATCATAACGAACTACATATTTATCTTCTCTCTTTGTATAAATCTTCATCTGTTTCTCAATGTTCATTCCACCACAAGCTTTGAGAATTTCTTTATAGTTTCGAATGAAATATGTTGTCATTGGAAGTCTTTCATTTAGCATGTAGTGGTCTTCAACAAGAAGTAAGTCAATAGTTCTAACAGTTTCGCATTCTTTTGGTATATATCTCTTTATTTCATTATGTCTTGAGTCATTGAAATAACCAATGGTAACATTAAATGCTATACCTGTTGCGTCAGAAATTTCTTGTACTTTACTTTGAGGAAAGTCTCTAACACGAATGACTTCTCTCATGTGGTCAATAGTTTCTTCATTTACTCCAGCCTGAATGCAAGCATAAACGAAACAATTGTCCTCTGTCATAAGTGTTGCAGTTCTTTTGTTCAGTTCATTGAAGATTTGGTAGCGTTCAAGATTTATAGGTAATGTGCAAAGATACTTCCAGAACTGACCGCTTCTCTTCTTATAAAACTTCTTTTCACCATTATCTTTCCAAAAGCTTTCTATAAGTGCTGGGTTTCCTGTTTGCTTAAGAGCTTCCAAAATGGCTTTCTGGTCATTTGTCAGTGTGCTTTCATCTCTATATGGTCTCTTTTTTGGTTTGCCTTTCTTTACATCTGACATCGTTAAGCCTTCATATTCTGTTAAATCATACATCTTTATTTCGGTAAGATTCTTTATGTTTGTCAAGAAGAAGTCATAGTGCATTTCAACAATACCTGCGGCATTTGCTTCTATCTCTGATATAAAGTTCTCCTTCAAGAGCTGATGTAGTAATGTTCCAATATTATTGAGGTTTAACGTAGAACATTCATACTTTCCACCAAGTTTATAACATACCATCCATCTCTGTTGTGAGTTTATTTTAATTTTCTCTAAGAGTCTCATGAAAACCTTACCGAAATGTTTGTGTAAGTAGTCTCTGTTTGGTTCATCTAAAGCTTCGATGTTAAAGTCAATGAGTCTATTGCCTGACTTCACATTTCTCTTCCTATTCTCTTCATCTTTCTTTAACCATCTCTCACCTTCTTTTGGTTTGTCGTCAATGGAACGAATGACATCGTTAGCTTTGCGAACTTGTTCTATAGCGCTCTTAAACATCTCTCTTCTCTGTTGTTTCAGTGTGTCGTCTCTTCTTCTTGTTTCACCAACGTTCGCATGGGCTACGCCCGCGCCGTCATGCGGCTTTGTTATGTCAAACATCTCTCTTCTTACTTCATGAGGTACTGAACGTCTATGATATAAGTCAATAGCAACGTCATTTAAAGGAAATGCTATTGCATGGACTTCGTCCTCGCCGCGTTGCGGCTTTATGAACTCATGAATTCTATCATAACTTATTGCACCATTATAGTCTTTAATGAAGTCAGCGAGTGCTTTTTTGTTTGTTGCGTAATGCTTTGCAACATCTATATTAGCTTCTGTAAGAAGTTGTTTTATTTCCGAGTGTTCTAACTTAGACAACTTCCGATACATCTTTAGTAGGAAATAAAAAAATATTTTTGAAAAAATTAGATTAGATTTTTTTTAAGTTATTTTTCAAAATAATTTAATATTTTTATTATAATGAAACACATGCAAGATTGTAAGTTCTTTTCATACAATACTCTCGCTACTGCCATCAAGAATGAGTTCAATAATGCTTCAAACGTCAATGTTATCTTTAACAAGAAGTTTGTGAAAGAATCTAAGTTCGGTCAGTATGTCAGACCATTAGCTATTGTCATTGACCGCAAACGTTATACTTCACAAGAGTTAGCAGTAGTTTTGAAACAAAAGGGTTTCTTCGTGAATGTCAAAGATACTCATTATACTGTTATAAAGAACTCCAACATTGACTTCTTCAGTATTGCTATGAATCTTTCCGAACAGAAAGAATATAAGAAGGGTGAAACAAATGTGAAATATTATTCTTCATCTCTGAAAACAATAACGAACAAAGATGTTATACAGAAATTCTTACCAAAGGTTGAAGAAGCTTCTATTGACATTGACGAAGGAAGTGAAATGGTTGAAGAAATAGACCCTGAAGCTATTTAAGCAAAAATATATTTTTGGTTAGTCTTCATATGGATATTTTACAACAATTCCCCAATGTATAAACTTTTCATACGCTTTTTCATAAGCTTTATATACCTTCAGAAATTTTGCATAATCTTTAGAAGCATTTAGATATTGTTTAAATGCTTTGTATGTCTTCATAAATTTTGCATAATCTTTTACATGCTGTTCGTTCTCCTCTTCTGTCATGAGTTCCGAATATTCTAAATTCATGTTCTTTCATATGAGATAAAATTTTATAAAAAAAAATAAAATTAGCTTAGATTTTCATTCTTCCTCTTTGAAGTTATCGAAATACTCTGTTATTTTTTCCTTTAACAATGGTAAGTCTTCTTTGAATGTAAGTATTGTGCAACCTTTGATGTCATAGTGTGTTTGAGGAAGAGTATTTTTGACAATTTCTTTTATTTGCTCATTCGGTGTCATTGAAATCGGTAAGTTTTCACGATAGAACCAGTTTCTGTCAGATTTATATATTTTAGCTAAGTCATAAAAGCTCTTGTTGTTTCTTCTGACTAAATGCAACATAACCATATCTCTGTCTTCTTCATTCTCCAACTCTTCAGTATATATCATATACTTATAACTCTTTTCCTTTCCTTTTGGTACTGAACGTGGTATTCTTTTCTGTATGCTTTTGTCTTTGGATTCAATGACTTCATCTTTTGCTTGAAGTTTCTTTTCCATCTCTCCACGTTCTGCTTTATATAGTTCATCTAACATCATGAAAATATAACAAGCATAACGAGGTGAAGCCCACATTGCTACAGCATTTACTAAAAGTCTATGAACATAATAACCTTTCAAACCAGGAGCCAAATTTTTACGATTTTCGAATGGAATCTCTTCCCTCGGTTTTCCGAGGGAAGCAATCATATGAGGAAATTCTTCTAAAAGTTCTTTAGCCTGTTGGTTTTCAAACCAATGATATGCTTGCTTTGTAGAAAGAAGAGCATTCATTATACTTTGCATTTGGTACATGTCGTCTTTGACAGAACGAATGAGTCTCAATTGTTTGTTATACTGTATGTATTCGTATTCTTCATTTATGGCTTCATGGACTATAACTGTTGTTGTGTTCTCTGATGTTGACATATCTGTCTTTACATACAGGATAAAAAAATAAATAAAATAAAAACTAACTTTATTTTTTTTGAGATAAACACTATTTCTTCACAACATTAAATTTTATCCTGTATGAAATGACTTTAAAAAGATTATTGACTGACTTCGAATACTATCTCATTGACGCACTGACAGACCCTCAAAACTGTGTTGAAAGTTCTTTAAGCTTTAAGATTGAAGGTACGACGCATTTTGTCTTCACTTACGTATTGAAAGAATATGACCGTTATCATAACGAAGTGAATCAAACACTAATAAAATTTGTAGATAAAAAATTGGTTAACAATGAATATTTTAAACGTGAAGACCCAAACACTGCTGGAGATGATGAAGAATACAGACAAGCTATTGAAAAAAATAACGCAAGATTAGATGCAATAGAAAAGAAGTTTTGTGAATGTCTTACAAACACGTATGAATATCTTATGCGGTGGGAAGCTAGATGGAAATAAATTTACGTCAAATATGCAATTTATAAAATCTTATGTCGACAGGCTACGTAGCACAGTGGTCTAAGGTGGTGTTATGGAGGGGTCAGGGTCTGTGGTTCGAACCGCGACAGCGCCGTATTTTCTTATTTTCTTTATTTGTCTTGTTTGTCGTGAATAAAAAGTGTCATAAAAGTGCTCTATCTTCCACGGGAATAAATAAAAAATTTACTTTATTTCTTCTTTATTTCTTTGTTCCCGTGGAAGAAGGGTTTTTGCCGTTTTTTCTCAGCCGAAATCAACGATTTTTTCATTTTTGGAATCCTTAGCAAATGAGGAATCTTTTCTCTCGTGGAAGCTTTGACCAAAAATATAATTGAGGTGAAGAGGTGAGATTTCACCTGTTTTTTCACCTAATTTTTCACCCTCATGACTTTGTCATAACTTCTTCGTAAATGCTTTGTCATAACTTCTTCGTAAATGCTTTGTCATAACTTCTTCGTAAATGCTTTGTCATAACTTCTTCGTAAATGCCTTGTCAAGATTTCATCGTAAATGCTTTGTCATGACTTCTTCGTAAATGAGTGTAAATGACCAAAAAATATAATTTAGGTGAAGAGGTGAGATTTCACCTCTTTTTTCACCTAATTTTTCACCTCTTTTTTTCACAAGCGTTTTACATGAATTGTACGATGTATATTTGAAATCCTAAACAGTTTTGTAGCTTCTATTTCTTCGCTGAGGATATCAAAAGTTTTAACAATGCCGAAAGTCTCTTTATATTTCTTCTTGACGTCAGATAGAAGGAAATCTTCTACTGTTGGATAGTTTTTGTTCAGAAATGCTAACATGTCCATTTTATCTTCTGCTGGCTTTTCTGCTTCTTTCTTTAAGTCTGCATAGTCGTTTCGCATTCTTTCTATCTCTTTGACGGAGTAGTTATATTTCCTTATTGCTGCTTACATTTTGAACATTGTGGGTTCATTTTTGCATTATACATTGAAATTTGACCTGCTAGAACAACTAAAGCGTCAATTGCTCTCTTCATCTCAAACATAGCGGGTCTTAGTTGTTCGTTCCATACTTTGCCTCTTCTATCTTTATCTCTTATTTCCCAAACACATTTTGCAACTAATGAAACAAAGTTATCGTAAGTCTTAAACTCCTCAGATTTATATATGTCAGAAATGTTTTTATATACCATGTCGCAATCTTTGTCCATAACCTTATGGTTGCAATGAAAACCAAGGAATTCATAATTTACTTTACGTATGAACTTCTTTATTTCTACTGAGTCAGTTGCTTTGACTTCAATTTCGTCGAATTCAGGAATAGTTAGTTTTTGATGCTGAATTTCAGGTAGTTTAGGTAAATGGTCGATGAGGTCCTCCATTTCATAAAGATATTCTTCATTTTCTTCATCTTTCGCACTACAGTCTAAATTACTTGTTAAAAGTTCTTGCTTTATCTTCTGGATTTTTGTTTCGAAAGTATATGAAGAAGGAATGAAGTTTTTCATCTCTACTAACATTGACGTAGGATTCATGACTAACGAGTTTGGTGCTGTTGTTGTGGACAGAGTCCCGCCGTTCGCGGCTTGAATTGTTGTTGTGCCGATTGTTGAAATCATATCTTTTATACAAAATAAAAAAATAAAAAAATAAAACTAAATTATATTTTTTATTTCGGGAAAATTCATGAAAATTCAAGAGGTGAAAAAAGAGGTGAAAAAACAGGTGAGATCTCACCTCTTCACCTAAATTATATTTTTGGTCTTTTGTGAAAATTCATGAAAATTCAAGAGGTGAAAAAAGAGGTGAAAAAACAGGTGAGATCTCACCTCTTCACCTAAATTATATTTTTGTCTGATTTACATCTAATGAAAAAGTTTAGAAGAATTTTCTTATTCTTTCTGGCATATTTTTGTCTTTCCAGTACTCCCGCTCTAATGGTCCCAGATGTGTTGGCTTCGACTCTCTCAAGTTCTTAGATGGTATAACATCTTCAACGCCTCCTTCATATCTTACTTTATAAGTGTCATCGTTTGTGTTATAGCCAAGTATTTCAATAACCACTCCTCGCTTTGCTTCGTCAATGGTTTCAGCAAGTTTGCCATTACTACTTTCAACTAATTTATGACAAGGGTAAAATGCTATGGAGTCGTCAGCAGCTTTTATAAGATATCCATTACCTTGCGTAGAGTCTACGATATAATAATTTCGACTTAACCTTAAACGTTTCTTTGTCAACGGTTTGTCGTCAAGAACTACACGAACTTTTGTTCCAGGAATGAGAGTAAATTGTGTTGAATTTCTGATATTTTGTGTTTGACTTCGTTTCTTTTGTATATACTTTTCTTCTTGTTGTTGTGTCATTGAATTTGGTGTATGTCCTGTTGTAGAATGTGTTGAGGAATTATATACTTCGAGAAAATGTTTCATTGTTTCTTCGGTAAAGTCTCGCTCTTGGTTTAAATCTCTGAGAGTCCTTATGAAGCGGTTTATGATGCCGAGTATGTTATGGTTATGGTCTTCAGTAGTGTAGTGAGTTATGTTATGCTTAATGAGAAATTCTGTGATTTCATTGCTGAGGTATGCACTGTCTTGGTCTGATGTTAAAGTACTTGGGTTATGTTCTGCTACAAACTTTTGTAAAACTCTTAACACTTCATGAGTTCCTTTATTTTTCATTGGATATGCATATGCTTTACGAGTGTTAACATTTATGAAGATGAGGAATGGTTTATGTCCTCCTTTTCTGCTTTGAATGAGAGTGTCAAATTGGTATGCGTCAGGAGTGTTGGAGTAAATTGGTAAAAAGTAGTCGTAAGGGTTTATTTTTGTTTGATGTACAACATTTTTGTCAAAGAACCTTTTCACTTCAGCTCTGTTAGTAAATCCCCAACTCTTTGCAGCTTCATTGAACTTCTTAAATGACCTCCATGGATGTTGTTCGAATGCTTCTTTCAAGCTCATTTATGTAAAGTTAAAGATTTTATTCTAGGCTCAAGCGCGTTCAATGAACGCGGTACCATGCGAATATAGTCACAAATGGTGGCATATAATCTTCACCCGAGCCTGTTGGATTTGTTGTGAAAGTGTGTGAATGATTTCCTGTGGTTCCACAGAAAATACCTGTGCTTGAATCTACTGGGTCACTTGAAATATCATATCTATGCATTCCCTGTCTATCCGAACCTGCTGCAAGATTTGTATAACCTCTTTTTGTTATTGAATGTGAATGACTACCTGTTGTGTTTGTAGTTCCTGTATGAGTGTGCGGTGGAAGGTTTGCTTCTTTAATTTTCTTCGAACCACCTGTTTGCTTTGAAGAGTTCGCACAGTATAAGAATTTATCTACAATCTGCTCCCACGTACCGAAACCCAGAACTGTTGCTGGATTTATTGAGCTCATTGACGTATAAATAGAGCCTGCAGGATATAATGTTTGAAGTATTTCAGTCTTTAATGTTTGAAGCTCTGTTTTGTCAGCCTTCTTGTCATATAAATCTTGAGCAGTGAATTTAATATTATGTTCATCCTTCATGACATAAACATCTTTACATCTAATGTTTCTCATCGTCGTTATGTCGTCATCCGATGTTAAACCTTGTGGAAAGTTAGGAGGTTTACAATATAATACATCCCCATCAGGTTCTTCAACCGTTCCTTCAATACTTTCTATAGCAACAGTTGTAAAACTTGTATGTGTATGGTTCTTGTCTGCTTTCTTCTCTAACATTGCTGGTAGTTCATGGGTTTCAAAGTTTCTGGCATGACCTTCAATGTTCATACATTTACTATTTAAGGAGTTTAGTGTATCTTTTACGCTTGTACTTGGATTTTCTAATGGTGCACTTGAACCAAGGGTATAGTTCAATATTATGTCGTCTGCTCTAACAGTAGTGAAGGATTTATGTGTATGGTTCTTGTCGGCTTTACTGTCTAATGTAGCTTGAAGTTCATTTATATCGGAGATGTTGTGTTTATGAGATTTCAAAACTTTGTTCATTGCTTCGAGTTCAACTTTGTCAGCTTTACTTTTAATAGCATCTTCAAACGTTATTTTTGACTTAACTCTCAAAGTAAATCTTGGTTCAACTAATACACCTTTAACAGAGAAAGTAGAGGCATAAATTTCATCGTTATAACTAAATGCTTCTGGTGCTTTACCCGTGTCATACTGTACAGTACAGCTTATGTCATAACCTTTAGCACGAATGTATTTATATCTTCTTTCATTGGGGTCTTCCGTCTTCACTTCTTCAGTTCGTGTTAAATATCCATGGTAGTCCGTTATAATCTGTTCGTCTGAAGTTATATAATGAACGTGGTTTTTATCTGCTTTTTCGGCTAATTTCTCTTCTATCTCATTTATTTCAAGTTCATGCCTACCACCACCTCCCGAAGAAGTATTTTTCTTCAGCTCTTGAAGAACGTCCACTTCGCCATCTTTGGTGTCAATAATGAGACTTTGTGTTAAAACCTTTCCTGTCTTAATGGATGTTTGTAAAACTTCTTCTTCACCGTGTTCGGGTCATGGTCGTCATCATATTTGTGAAATCAGAGATGTTGTCATACATTAAGCATATCTGTCTCAAAAGTTCTGCTATTTGAAACTGGAACGAAAGATATACAGAACTTTCATCATCTCCTAAAGTCAAGTCTGCTTTCTTAAGTATTTCTTGAATGTATGCAATGAGAACAGAGTACCTTGGAAAATATTCGAACAATATTTCATTAGCTGTTGGTTTTGGTGGTTCCTCTGGAGTTTCTGTTGTTTCAGTTCCTTCTGTAGGTTCTGTTGGAGTTTCTGCATCTCTTGACTTCAATGCTCTTGCTCTCAAAGACCTAAATGTTAGAGCACCGGGTTTTACAAAGGACTTTATAAATGCTTTAATAGTTCCTGGTAAGTTATTGTTAGCATTAAGTAAGTTCCTTATGGTTCCATCATGTACGTCCATAGCACTATGTAAAAAATCTATACTTTTCTTGTAGTCAGCAATAGACTGACTGTGATTTTTTAAAGATTTGTCAATACCTTTAAGCCAATCTTCATGCATGTCTGATACTGAGCCAAGAATATCATTTGCTTCCTTTAGTGTATTTTGTGCTTTTCGTAAAGTATCCAATCCCGTACGTGCATTGTTTGCTATACGTCTTACAGTATCTATTTGACTCCTTGTTTCTTGCATCCAACCAGATAAAGTTTTAATAGTATCCGAACCATTTGAAATGAAGTTCAAAGCATTTTTAACGTCATTTAAAACTTCTTCACCAAGTACCGCCCATATCTTTCCGATTTGGTATTGAAGAACTCCATATGAAGCAGCTGTTAAACCAGTATTTATAAGGTCCCATATCCATGATTTAGCAGTTTTCCATCCTTTCCATCCTTTCCATCCAAACCGTTTTCGCCTTGAGGTCCTTGTATTCCTTGTATTCCTTGTATTCCTTGTATTCCTTGTGGTCCTTGAGGTCCGGTGTCACCCTTCTCTCTTTCAGTTCATCTTTATGTTCGTTATAATATTCTAATGTCATAAGGTGTACATCATTACTGCTACCAGCAACGCCGAGAATTTGTTTCTCATTTCATGACTAAATTCTTTAGGCATTTAATGTTGTCGTCAAATCGAAAGCTCTTTAACAATTCAATGAGAACATTCAGTACTTTCACTAAAGAGGCATCTACTGTAGAATTTATATATTGCACCGTTCCATCATTTATGATAGGAACTTTACTTATTGTAATGAATGGGTCATAAGTGTTAAAAGTATCGAAATCAATGACTTTTTAGTTTTTCCATCGTCAATGACTAAATCATTGCCTTCAATGGTTAAAGTTGAGTTTTCGTTTACTAGTTCATGTGCTCTTCTTGCTTCATTTGTTTCATACGCATATGCAGCAATAGTCATATTTTAATGAGAATAAAATGTTGTTCTATTTGCAAAGTACAGACCCAAACGAATACGGAATAGTAAAGCTACAAACAAACTTAGGTCTTCAGAATGAAGTTGCTTTCAGAGTTGTTGACTTCAATACTATCGCAACTTTTGTCATAACAGATGAAACAGATTTCATGGAGTTTGAAATAGATGGAAAGAAGCACGAAATAAATTTCACAATAATGTAGAATATAAGATGGAAACATTAGCTGGAGTGTTAAATGCTCTCATAAATACTACAATAAACAAGGATAACGAAGAAAACTTAATGAATGTTAAACTTATTGCAGGAGTTTTGAAGTTCAGTTATGCAAAAGGAGTTTAAGATAACACGAATGAGTCATAGAGTTCAATTGCTTCTGGGTGCATACCATATGACATTTCCTTTGAAAAGTGTTGACAAAACGATTGAGATGAAATCTGTTCCATACGTATGTTATGGTAATTGTTTGTACATTGAGTCTAAAATAGCTAATGTCACAGGTTTCAGGAGTTAATAGTAAAGGTTCAGTAGAATATAAGTCTTTCTGTTATGCAGTCAATTCAATGTTCATTCCAAACGTTCCTGTCATAGCAACTCATTTAGGTAAATGGGTTCGCATTAGTCCTCATAATTTGAAAGACATGCAATTCAGACTAGTTGACTTTCAAGCGAGCCTGTAGAACTGAAGGCACCAGTGCGAAT